TCTCGTCTAAGTTCGACTTGGGAATTTTTGTGTTCAATAATAAATGTGAATTCTTCCTGGAAAAAATAAGACATTCCCTGAAAATAAGACCTAGCGCATTTTTCAGAGCAAAATTTAATATAAGACACTCTTATTTTCGGGAAAACACGGTAATAAAATAATTTTAATATTAATAATAATAATTTAGTAACAAATTTATTTATAGTAAAATGTACTCGCGGGCCGTACAAATTATTTGGCGGGCCGTATACGGCCCGCGGTCCGCCAGTTGGACAGCGCTGAGCTATAAGATGCTGAAACCTCAAACTTCCTGTGTTGATTATCAAAAGCATCAGTGCAATTCCAAGAGAGAGCATCAGTGCAATTCCAAGAGAGAAATTTTTTATTCAAAGATGTTTTCAAGGTTATAAAATGGAGCAGTTAAACACTGTTCAAAATCATCATCATTCTGATTGGCTGTGATGCACATCATGAGAATTCTGCATCATTTGATATAAAGCTCCACTAATCTGCTAGCTTCCACCCAACTGTCCATTGTCAACTCAATGAGGTTAATTTTAAAAAAGGCATTGCACATTGATGTTCATTTCAAAGATGAACATTGCAAAGAGACCAGTAAAAAAAGAGACCTTTACAAAGGAACATTTAAAAACTACCTGAGTTGTAATTGGAGTAAAGTGATTGTGCAATGAAATTTGGGCTTGAGTTGGTGCCAAATTGTTTGGCAAATGAAGAACTACAAAACCTGCCAAGTGTGTTGGGACTATAAATTATTCCCAATACATGATGGTACAGGGAGGGTGTTTCTCTCATTGTGGACTTGGCTGCCTGGCAGGAGAAATCTGCAGTTGCATGGTTGCAAAAATGTATAGGGCAATATTAAAAAAAAATTTTTGTTTTTCATCAGAAGATAGGGGGAATCAACAATGATTTTGTTTCAACATGACAACAACTTGAAGCATTCATCCAAGCTTGTCAAGCATTTTTTGGTTTCTGAGGGATTTGAAGTGCTAACCTGGCCACCCCAAAGTTTGGATTTGAATCCCATTGAACATCTTTGGGAGAAGTTGGAGCAGAATCCTAAAATCCAAGAGGAAAAATCTGCAAGGGTGCACATACTTTTTGTTTCAGATGGATCAGTTTGCAAGATCAGATCAGTCTTTGTCGTGTGATATAGATTGCTTCTGTTGTGTTTTAGTTGGCGGAAAGTATACAAATACGATCAAATTGTATTTACTCTGTGAATGAAATTGATCACAAAATGGGAGAGTACATAGCATGCATTCTTGCCATACAATCTTGCAAAATTCTCTTAATACTTACTTTTTCATCTCAGTATATCGGATATTTTAATAATATTTTTACTTATGATTTATAGGTTTTAAATACTTTTCATTTCAACAGTTAAACACACTTCATTGCTCTTAACTATATAAACTTGACTTTAAGTGGAGTGGAGGTTGCCATATTTAATCTTTATCAGATTCAAACGATTCTACCCTCCACTCAGATTAGTTTCATTGCAATCCAGTTGATCCTAGATGGCATTTGTATATGTAGATAGAGATTGATCAGATTGCTATAGTTTGTTTGTATAAACAATTTGAATGATCAGAGTAATCTTGGGTCAGTTTGATTACAAAACTATAAGCATCCAAATCTACTGGATGACCTTATTTGATGAATGGAGCAAGATCACATTGAAGTTCTCAAATTGGTGGATTTGATGACTTGTGTTTGCAAGCTGTCACAGAAGCCAAAGGTGGTCTAGGTCTAACACAACTGTTTGCATCTTTTGTGTTTTACATGTAGGTGGAATAAATCTTATATTATTCAGGCTGACTACTTTTGAGATCTGGGGGTATATCAAAAAAGACATTTATTTAAATAAAGCAATAAGTGTAAACTTAAACAATAATCATAGAAAACATGTGGGACTTGGGTAGATTTACAATTTAATTAATCCAATTTTTAATACAGTGCACATGCAAACACTGCTTCTCTCCTTCTTGTATTCCAACCACTTCTAGTGTTTTTACATGTTTTTATAGAATAAAGAATAGATATGTCAAGAGTGTGTATAATTTCAAGTACTGGTATATTTCATATCTGTAAGAAGTTAAACAAATTTTTTCAAATAAACTGTCTATTTTTCTGGCTATACTTGAACCTGTTCACAATATAACAGATTCTCAGAACAACGAATGATTTCCAACTGCTCATGATCCCATTGAAACAAGATTCTACTGTAATTGGTTTTTGTCTGATTTTAAAACGGTTTTGAAACCAGATCTTTTAGAAGTTGACCCTTAGCTAATGTGGATGTTGAATCATGCAACTACTTCAGATCTACTATGCTTCTTTTTTATAAAGGAATGTTATTTTATTACATATACTTCTGATGCAATTCAAGGGACTTCATGTGATTACAGGAAAGTTTGATTTGAAAATTTCAATTATTTAAAATAACATGAAGTTAAAAACTGCCAAGAAATTGTAACAATGCCTTAATTTCCTGAAATTCCTAATTTTTAAGCTTATTAAAAATTTTTACTTTATACATAGAATTTTTGCAGGTGACAATATAGGGTAATGGCACCAGTAGACATCCATTTAATGCTGTTTTGGACTGATGATTTTTTTTGTAGTAACATGAAAGGAAAAATTTATATGACAATAGATTGTTCTATACTTGTCATGGAGAAAATAATTTTTTTTATTAGATCTTTCTTTACATTCTGAAAAAAATAATCATGGCTGTTTGCCCAGTAGTCAACCAATGGTTGCAAAATTGTTTATGGTGGCCAACAACTGGATTTTCCTTTAAGAGATTCACAAATGTGGTAGCTGTAAAACGATAAGTGAGCTCAATAGACATCTTGTAGGAAACATGCACCTGATAACATGAAGCTCTCATTATCTTCTAAAGACCCAATAACACCTCACTGTGTGGTCGACTACAAGAAAGGTTTTGTGCACTAATTTTTTCCATATCCATGAGTAATGCAACCTATTAAGTTGTTGAGAAAGGGGTCGTCTTATGATGCTTCCAATGAAGATGACTTGCGTAAACCTGCTTTGATGGACTAATTATGCACAGATTTCAGTTTACATGGTTTTACTGCTGGAAGTGGTCAACAATAGATGCCCTTCCTTAATTGTTCTTTCAATACTCATTTAAAGTGGGGTGAATTCAATCTGGCGGTATATTTTTAAATATTTTTAAAAAATTATAAATTTTATTGCGATTTTCGACCCCCCCCCTAATTAATTAAACTTATATATAATAAAATCTATTAATTAAAAAAAATTAAAAAACTATCGGAGGTCGTTTTTGACATCAGAAAGCAGTTTTAATAAGTTTACCGAAGGAAAATCGGTGCACTACAACTTTAGAACGATTAATTAATTTTGATAAAAAACTTGCATTAAAAAAACATTAAAAAGCAATTAAGCCTTAATCGAGCCTTATCAAAGGCTCATTAAAATTGCGATAAAATTTTTTCGCGCGGGCAAAAAATTCTGAAAAAATTTGGGGACCTAAAAAACATTCCAAAAATTCAAAAAAATTTTTTTTTTCAAAAGTGGCCTTAACGACCGATTTTTACGTAACGCTATGAAACTTGCTCGAGTCACACTCGAGCGCGGGCGGGAAGGGGTTACCCCCGTTCTGTCCATTTTTTAAAAAAATTTTTAATTAAACATAAAAAATACTTAAAACCGAAAAAAACGAAAGAGTTAATTTTGGTTAAAAAGCTTCATCATTTAAGTTCCTTTGTCTCGCCTTTCTGTGGAATTTAACACCGATGAGTTATTGTTTACACATCTGGATGATCTTGAACACAGCTGGAGTCGGATTTCCCCGGAGCATTCTCATAGACGTCGCGGGAGGACAAGGGTTTAATTTATTTAAACTATAATAAAACAGTTTGTTTAAACATCAGAAAAATTAAAGAGAACTAATACATTAAAATATTTTAAATGCTCGAGTTTTCAAAAGATAAGAAGAAAGCCATTTGTTTCTTTTAAGTGCTGTATCATAGGATCACTCACTTTGTTTAGGCAAGCATTTCACTTGCATATTTTCCTAGAGCATCCCAAGTGAATTGAACTCCACACTGCTGTTATAGATATGACTTTTCACTGTGGATATGAAGGACAGAAGGCAACTAGGCAACTGAACAAAATCCCAAAAATGAGGGCATATGTAAATTACTAGAACATACCAAAATTTGTATGAATTATGATGAATTTATTTTTGGAGACTGAAACTGAAATAATTTTTACTTTCTGGGTTCTGTTATATATGACGGAAAGTATGGGAATTAGTCAAAAATGACCTCCCAAGATTTTTCATTTTTGGACTCAGGTGATCTTGAAACATAAGGTCACCTGGTTTCAAAAATGAGCAAAGGAATTTGGAGCTTTTTTGTGTTTTCTGTATTATTTGTAAGATTGTTTATTTTTAATTTTTGGAGCAACTGTAACCTTTATCTAATTGGTTTTTCTTCTTTATGGTAAAAATTATGTAGGATAAACTTCACTTTTGATGATTAGATTTAGATTGCTTATACTGTAGACATATTTTTTTAAATATTGAGGATATTTATTCTTTGTTGTTTAATCTCTTATGGGACATTCCAATTTTCAACAAGAGTGTTGAGTGTTGAAACCAACAATATGACATCATCAATGATGTTCCAACTTCGAGTATGAAGTGCTTAATTCCCATAATTCCATTCTCAGCAAGATGGATTCCATTCAAATGTTGCACCAATTACCCACAATTCATTTGGAAAGTAGCAGTCAATATATCTGTTGAGTGATGAGTGTGTTGAGTCAGCATTGATAACAGTGCCATTTCAACATTGAAAAAAGGAACAACTTTTACTGAACGTTGAGATTGGCACTTAGTCAGCGTTGAAAATTGGAATGTCCCGTTAGCAAACATTTGTCAATTATTTGAGAATTTTAATTTTAAAAAGGTTTTGTACTTTCAGAAAATGTGGGGTGCAACAGATATGACTAATGTAAGTATTATTTCTACTTATAATAATAATTATAGAATAGCTTTTTATATAGTCTGAAAGGCCATGCCAAGAGCCAGAATTATAAGTAGAAATACAAATTTTGAAATTTTGAGAGTATTAATAGAATTAAAAACTCCATCTTTTACATGTGCTCTTGATTAAGTTATCAGTTCAACAAATTTTTACTTCTATTATCATCTGAATGATGTATACAAATTGTTTCATATATCTTGCCTAGGCAATACTTTGTTAGGACTGGAAGTTTTATGAAGTTCAAAGCCCCTTTTTGATAGCAGACAGTAATCTCATCAGATTTGTCAAACAATTCATTCCTTTTACAGTACTAAGTAAACAGGCTTGCTACTGCTGCTATGCATTTTTACAGTCTGGCCAAGATTTATGAAACAAGCTGCATGCAGATGTCTATGTATAGTCACATAATGTTGTTACCAATATATTCACAATATAAAATTTATTTTAAATGTTCATTAAATGCACATATTTGATTTAGTAGAATATTGTGTTAAAATTTTATAATATAACCAATTAAGTTTATGATGATAAATTTAATAGCATGTCAGTCTTTATTATAGATTATTAATGTTACTAAATTACTTTTCTTAGTTTTACTCTTACATAATCAAAACACGATAATGCCTCAACTCCATCTTCTCACATTATTTTGCACTGTCCATTATCTCATGGACTTTTTATAGTGATATTAATTAAGGTGCAAGTACACACTTTCATCTTAATACCACTATAAAAACAGAGAACAACAGACATAAGAAAATCACTTGATTTATGAGTTAGGGTGTGTTCACATTAGGCAGATGTGACAGGTTGCATTAGAGGAAATCCATCTCTCATTTCGCTTGCAACATTTCTATCCTTCCACTCGAACCAACAAGGTCACTCACTAACTAGTGTATTGTCAACCTCCTGACACTACTCAAAAACAACTTTCTTTCTCTTAAAATAGTAGAGAGAACTTAATTTTTTTACAAATTGTATAATTTACAGTATATAAGCCTGGCATGGTCTCTTTTCGAATCAGTACAGTATAATATCAAGTTTTAAGTTAATAGCATTATTTTATACTAAACTAATATAATTTAGTTATACAAAGGAAACAGTTTACATTGTTCACAAAATGAACATTTCTGGATTCTGTGTAATTCTGATTTTTATTTGCCTACTTTGTGAAATTGTCAATTTATATTTTCCAATAAGATATTAACTCATTCAATTTTGGCTTAGAAAACATTAGGTAAAGATTTTAATGTCGTTTTGAAGATTATTTAATATTTTGCACTTTCAAATCCAAATGATTCTTATGTACTCTACATATACGAGGGCTGTTCAAAAAGTATCGGACCTTTGATTGGCAAAAATACATTTATTGATTTTGAAGTACAAAACCCTAATCCCCTTCAAAGTAGTCTCCTTGGTAATGTATATACTTCTCCCAGCACTCCTGCCATTGCTGGAAACACTGCTGGAACGCATGTTTTGGAATGGCCATCAGCCGGTCCGTCGCATTCCGCATGATGTCTTCTCTTGACTAAAATCGGGTTCCTTTTAGCGGCATTTTCAGCTTGGGAAACAGCCAAAAGTCACATGGAATCATGTCTGGAGAGAATGGAGCGTGATGAACCACAGGAGTGTTGTGTTTGGCAACGAAAGTCTGAATCAGATGCACAGAATGGGTGGGTGCGTTATTGTGATGGAGCTGCCAAGTTTTGGTTGACCACAGATCCAGTCATTTGCATTGCACAGCATCACAAAGACAATGAAGGACCTCCTGGTAGTACTCCTTTGCAATGGTTTGGCTTTGTGGTGCGTACTCACGATACACCACTCCACGGGAGTAAAAAAAAACTGTCAACATGACCATGACATTGCTGCGGACCTGCCATGCTGTTTTTTGGCCTCGAGAATCATCCCCGTAAGCTTACTGAATCTTGCGAATTGTTTACGCTTTGGTATCGCCAAGCTTTTGGCAAAATTTGATGCAATATCGCTGCTCACATTGTTCAGTCATTTTCCAACTTAGTGGAATCCGATGAGCGCTCGCTACACGTCCTCACTTATAGGTCGATTGCCGGCGACTGAGGCTTTCTGTAGGCTGGAAAAAAATTCAGGACTGTGCATGACTGTCCCCTCCACAACTCCACCGAAAGAGATTTCCCGTGCATCATTGGTTTACGCGGGAAAAATAAAGGTCCGATACTTTTTGAACACCCCTCATATACATTAAACTTAGATTAGGGTTTCAGTGCATATAGTAAAGTACTTGCAGTTAAACTTCAAAATTAGAAACTCCAAAACAACAAATGAAAACAAAATGAAAGCTCTCCAAACACAAGCTCATAAATTTCTGATGTGCTAATATCACTCAACACAATTACCAATTTCATGAATTTGGTAGGAGTATTGCCAAATTAGCTAATACTTTTCTAGATTTAGTGTATTTATGAGCAATCTAGCTATGCAAATTACCTAAATTATAATGGCCTAGCTATTTTTATAATGCTATCTAGATATAAAAAATCAAACAATTTTAATGGAAACAATATGATTTGAATATTTTTATTATTAAAATGTCTAGCTATGAATTTGAATTTTGAGTTGGCAACACTATTTCAGCATAGCTATAGTTAATCAGTTTTTGTGTGTTCTTGGTTTCTTGCATTGATTTATTTTCAAAAACTCAAGTTCCAATGGCTGCAACACAGTGCAGTGAAGAAAAAGAGCAAAAAAGGAAAGCTGTTAGAACAACAATAGAGATTTTAAAAAAAATTGCTTAGTCTGAAAATGGACAAAGTAGAGAGGTTGTGACTAAAGTTTTCACCTCTAAAACGTGAACGTCGAATGTTGAGTGCCACTATCTTGTAAGCCCAGAAGTTTGATAATGGCATTTGGAACCTCATTGGAATCATGCTCAACATTCCAAATGCTATTGCCAAACTTCTAGGCTTACAGGAAGACTGTGCTCAACATTCGATGTTTACGTTTTAGAAATGAAAACTTTGGCCACAACCTCCCTAGTGTTTCCAACTTAGCCAAAGAATTTAATATGCCCATCATAATTGGAATTACCTAATGTTTTAATTGATGGTATGTCTTTTTCTAAACTATAATAACCTTACTCTTTTTCCCTTCTACCACTATACTGTATTTAGTACAATAAAGATAGTTTTACAAACAACAAAATTTTTATTCTTGTATCTGTTTTTAGGGTGGGAATGGATTAATTTATTATAAAAAAACATGTCATTTTCCATATTCGTTAAATCTTTAGGAACAGATTAATGATGAATAAAGAGGTTTCGTATATATATATATGGGCTATAAAGTTAATGGCAACATCTCAATTTATTATAATACTACCACTCAAAACTGGTTATATTTGAATTAAAACTCTAAAAACCTATTAGTGTTACCACCCATCCGGTTTTCACCCAGACAATCCGGGTGAACTATTAATTTTGTTTGGGAATTTTGTAGAAATTGTGAAATTATGATGAAACAAAGTTCTTGCAAATATTTTTACAAATTTACACTATTTTAACAGCAAAAGAACTCGCACTCACTGAAACTCATCCGTAATTCTGCCATGTTCATCTGTTTACATGTGGCGCGCAACCTGTTGATCCCCCTTTTTTTTCATATAACTTAGCCAGTAGACATGTATGATAGTATCTAGCACATTATTCTTTGCATTGTAAAATGATACTGTGCATGCGTCAGGAACTTCTGTTCAAATAAACCTGACCTGCTGTCTGGGTCCGATTTTGAAAAGGTGGCAACACTAAAACATATAATCCAGCAATTTTTAAAATATGTGCAAATGTTTTCAAACGTCCATGTTAAACAGGTATTGTCAGGAAAACTAATCCCCAGCTGCTGAAACAACAGGAGATTGCTGTACACGTGTACAGAGATGAGGTGACTTAAGACGAGAGAAAGGGTAGAGGGAGGATAGTAAGATTTATAGTTCGAAGAAAGATTGTGGAGATGCTGTGGAAAAGGAGTCAACATTGCAATTCTGAAGCTGGGGATTAGTTTGCCTGATGATGCTTCTTTAACAAGGGTGAAAACATTTGCATGTATTTTAAAATTGCTGGATTATAGGTTTATAGAATTGTTTTTAAATTCAATTTTTAATGAAATGATATACTTTCAGCAACTCTAGTTATAGGTATTTTTTAGCCTTTACAATATGTTTTTAGTGATTATATTCAAGTGTAGTTATACACATGACATCATTTTTCTGCACCCCTGGCAACAATAAAGATACTTTTTTCTTTGCCGTAAGAAAATATATAAAATATTAGAACAAACAAATTGGCTGAAATCCAGGTTTGTCAAAGGAAAAAAAAACCCAAAGATTGTTTTAAGAAATTGCAGAAAGCATGTTGAAACTAGACACTGACTAACAGAACTGTTATAAGCTGAAATGGAACAATTCTGAAATGCCCAAGACAACATGTATGATTAAATATGATGATAGTCTGGAAGACCAATGAAGAATAAAGAATCTTAAATTTCTCTTTTGGAATCATTTTTACAATGAATCCTGCAAGAACTTTCTGTACATGTAGGACGTAGTCACAATGAAACTTGTACAGTAATATTAAAAAATGACAATAATAGGTTTTCATATTTCAACAAAAACTGAAATAAACGAATGTTGTGCAAAGTGTTGTTTATTATGCTAAATTGTGGTTTTAAAAAATAAATAATATGCTTATAATAACTAACAACTGGGTTGATTTTAATTAAAATTGAAAAGAAATTTGGAAGATAGAACAGCGTTCATAACAATTGTATACAGCAGTTCAAAAAGACCAAACTTAGCATATTACTGGTTGCTTCCCGACATGTTATTGATGTCAAACTAGGTTTACAGGATGATGAAATAAAGATCTTGCACGGGAGAGATATTCTGCCTCTCTATAATTAATTGCTGTCTTTACTTCCTAGATCGCATGATTTTCCGACCATACTTTGGTCACATGGCATTTCAGACTCCATTTTTCCCCCCTAAAATTTAAAATTATTGGCTTTGCTTCAAAAATTATTATTACACCTTTGTTTTCTTTATTTTCTCTACTTTTAAACAGTGTAAAATATTTTTATATTGACACAAATGCTTTATTTGCGTCGAATTTAATGTAATTTGATACGAAAAACGCAAAAAAATAAATACATCAAATTTCAACTCTCTGTAATTCATCTCATGTTTCACCGATTGCCATCTGGTTTGTTTGTAAATGCGTTAGAAATATGACACTTTCAAGTGAAGTCAGTAGAAATTTTGCACTACTGCAAGAAAATTTGTCAACAGACCCAGCTTAACTTCTATCAGGAAAGTCAATAAACTTTAATTGTTTTATGACTATTTCAAAGGCTTCTTTTTGAGTTGTAAATCGACCAACTGACTGTTTTTATTTCATTTTACTATAAGAATATATTTTTTAAGATTTAACAGATAGTTTTGTTAGATCTTTACATATTAATTTTATTTTTAATTTTTAATGTGATATAGTTGTGTTAGGCTTAAATTGATCTCCTAATATAAAAATTGACATCACTCAAAATATTATAGAAACCATCAAAATTCTTTGCTGATAGTTTAGATATAAGTGTTTTCTGTGCATGAAATGAAGCAATCAAAAAAATAATGGGTGGACCATTAAAAATTCAGCAATTTACGACACAATGTCAAATGCGTAAATTCTTTTATTTATAACTAAAAATATTCTCGAAATTTCATTTTAAAAAAATGCATTTGCGACAATACCTAAATGAAATTGTTATGCAAGAAACAAAAATTGTACAATTAGCGCAATTTGTATTAGCGTAATTAATTTTCAAAATTTTTGTTGCTGTTATTTCTCGCGTGCAACAACACGATTTCTCGCAGAGTATAATGAGACTTCACTGAGTGTAATAATAAATTGTGATATCTTGCTTCAAAATCGGGCTAGAATCGATCTTTTTCTTGGGGAAAAAAATTATTGGGAGAAAAGAATTGATAGCAGAAAAGATGATCGCAATGGTTGCGATCGACGATAGCAATTATCGCGAGCATGTTTATGCCGAATTTTTCCTACCCGAAAGCTCGCGCAGAGTCTGAGACACCGGCACTTTTTCAACTTTTGTTTGCAAGTAAACTCTGTGCGCAATAAAAACGTTATGTATTGCATTTTTTGCAGCTTGTGAAAATTAGAGAACTTGAACTTTTTGAAAAATTTCGGGAAAAATGCTGCTAAGAAAACTGCCACCAGGCATCTCACACATGCTAGGTGATCTAGAAAGGTTTAACACTTCAATAATAGAGAAGTTCTTAAATTTTGAACTGAATTTTGAGATAAATATCTTATAAATAAAAAGGGATATTTTATTTATGGTAGCATTGTATTGGTGTGAGGCCTTTGTAGGCACATGTTTGGATGTGTTGTCCAGCTTTGTTTAATAGAAATTAACTTTTATTATTATTTATATATTCTTCTATAAATCTATTTAATTTTATTTTGTAGAAAAATATTTTTATAAAATACAATGAAACAAATCTCAGCAGATGGGTGTAAATAAAACTTATTAGGAAAGGATGAAAAGCAATATGAAAATTTCTTCACATGACAGAAGCAAGTATCTAATGTACTGTACAGTATATATAGTCATGAAGTAACAAAAGGAAATGTGTAGTTGTTTTCAAACCTGTTATATTTTTTAAAATGTACATGGTGATGCTTCAGTTATCAGCTAGTAGATATATATACTACTAGCAAAAGACTTAAAAAAAATTAAGTCTTTTGATATACATATTTTAAAATATAAACAATAGTAAAATTAAAAGAAATAAATCAATTTCTAATTTAATATTTATTCTATAAGTTTAAGAATTTCATCCAAGTTACAATAGTAAGAGGTCAAAATTATCTTGTAACTTGTAATTTTAACTTAATTGTTACAATATAATTTTGAAAATTAAATATATATCTAAGGAAATTGAAGTATTTTCTTAGATACAACAGTGAAATTAATAATAATCTTTTTGAAAACAATATTATGAAGATTATATTGATTATATTAATAATACCAGTATATAAAGAATATTGTACACAAAATTCCTTTTTGAAGTTATTGAACTACAAACCTTATTTTGAAACCCAAGGGACTAAAAATAATCATGACTGAATTATCCAAACTTTTTTTGAATTGATTTTTTTTGCAAATCCTGAATAAAATTACATTATCTTATATAATTTAATCAGTTTGATTACAAATGCATTAATATTAGCTTAAATTACTAAATAATAACTCTTATTTCAAAAAAAAAAGTCAGTTTGCGTGTACTTAATGAAAACAATGAATTGTAATGAAAACTATATGCAAAGCTAGAGCTAAAAATAACATGAAAGAAGCTTCAGTGCTTTGATAAGAATTATGTGTGAATTTTGTCTAGAGGACCAATGGCTAGTTCTATGAATTCGCTGTTTTATTAGAGATTAAAAGGATCATGTGATCTGATAAGAACAAGCTTTGTTAATGGCAAAGTACACATTCTGTCATGAATACACATGTGTATTTAATGGACTTCAGAATTATTGAAGCAGTAGATTTCTGCAAAAAGATATCCAAAATAATTAAATGCCAGATTTATTCCATAAATATAAAAAAAAAAAATTTCACTTTATTGGCAACACATACAATGTCCGATTTGCTGTAGAACAGGTGTCCAATAAATCAACAATCTGTAATTGGTTAAACTGTTATCTGGGTATGTAAACTTTTCTTATAAACACACAATAAACATGAAGATTTTGAATTAAAGAATATTTTTACAAGTCACTGGACTAGATAATGACTTTGAATTTCATTGTACACATATTTCAAATTATCCAAACTAAAATATATGTGAAATACTATTCTCTTGGCTGGGGACTAGACTTTGAATTGCAAGGTTTTACTGTTTTGTATTAATAATGGTAATTATTGGTAGTAATATTAAATTATAATTATTGGTATATATCTAATGAAATTAAACTATTTTCTCAAAAATAATACCAAATATTTATCAAAAGCATGAATGGCAAGAATAATTTGTTTTCATTGCTTGTTATAATTACAAGTCATGCTGTGTCTTAACTCAAACACATTGCCAAGAACATGTTTGTGTGTTTTCCCACACTCAGGAAAATGTTTAACCCCCCACATATAAGAAATACCTGTACTTGAAAGTATTCAATCTCTTGTGATCGCTATTCTATAGAAACATGTGTTGCAAGATATATATATATATAAAATATGCTGTAAGCATGTGTGACAAAGCCTGAGAAAACTGTATATAATAAACTAACAACAAAATTAACAATTAATAAATAAGTTACAATAAAAATTACAATTATTAAATTTCTATTTCAGAAAGGAGGAAGTTTTGGAAGAGGCTGTGGGTATGTATTTTAACTTAAATTTTAAAATGCAAAAGAATTGTCAAAATTATAACTCTATGGTAATTAATATAATTTGGTACTTGATACAAATTGACATTTGACATTAAATTTAATTAGTAATTAATGATTACTTAATTTAGATGCATCTAGAAGAGAAATCTGAAATTGAGTGACATTCAGTTGAAATTTTATAGGAAGTTAGGCATATGCTAGTTCTGTTTCCAAACAGGATCTATCTGTCAATCTTTCCAACACATGATTCAATTTGATTAATTTTTTTTTGCAAATTTTGAGTCCTTATTTCTGTTATGCAAAGGAGAAAAGTTGAAATGCTATCAAAGTTTGAAGTATGTGTCATTCTGCCAATACTTCACTCAAAGATAAACTTCCTAATGAGATATTGGATTATAATAGTTAGGCATTCCAACAGTATGCAGTAGTTTAGTTCATCCAATTATTGCTTAAAAAATGCTGCACAGTTTGTTTTTATCACTGCCTTCTAACTACAAAATTTCAAATACTTATTACAGTTAATATTCATAAAAAGTTAAGTGCTGAATAAAGTAGAAACTTCTTATATCTGGATAATCTTCCATACTCAAGAAAGTTTGAACAATGTAAGGCTTCTCAATCTGGTAATTTGAAGACCCCTGGGGATATGTGAATGTTGCAGTTCTTGTTCTCCAGAGAAAAGTGAAGTGCATACTGTGAAATTGAAAAAAAATGCTACTTGTAATATTTATTAAACCTACTAGTTAAAATGCAATAAATTAAAACAAATACGAAATAGTTCAATCTCAATAAATTTTTGATGTTAGAGGAGATGAAGTAAAGAAAATATTAAGTTATAAAAAACAAATAACTACATGCACTTTCAATGATACATAACCATTTTCAAAGAAAAGTGTAAAAACAGAAAAAGGAATGGAACAATTTTTAAAATTAAGAACCTGATATAAAATAAACAATCGCAAACAAATTCTTTTTTAACCAGTAATTGAACTTTAACATAACTTATGAATATTTTCGGCCTTCAAGGCCTGCTTCAGGTAATGAACTAAACTGATTTCCAAATTGGACCGTTTGAACAATGGCTGATTGACTTTGTTTGAATTTCTCAAACAGATATTTCTTGCAGTCTTTAAAGTTAATACAGTTTCAAGTTGGCTTTATAAATTTCAAAGGCCTCCAGGTGACGAATGTGGTCTATTTGAAAGGCCCACCTAATTAATCTGGTATTCTGGAGGTCCGCATGAACTCCGGGACAGTGGCGTACATGGACAAGGCAGTGGTATGCCTGTTGTTCGCAAGGTTGAATTGATGTTCATGTATCCTTTTGCAAATTGAACGTATGGTGCATGCATGGAAATATCTATTTGAGAAATTCAAACAAAGTCAATCAGCCACGTGAATTTGATGTATACAAAGTGTAAAGTCGAACATCATCGTTCAAACGGTCCGATTTGGAAGTTCAGTTTAGTTCATTACCTAAAGCAGGCCTTGGTGAAGGCCGAAAATGTTCCAAAGTTACATTGAAATTCAATTACTGGTTAAAAATGGTATTGTTTGTGATTGCTTATTTCTCACTCCAGTATTTTTGAGAAGACTGTTACTGATATAAAATATTACTGTTCTAAAAGGTTACATAACATTTATTTCAAGGAAATAAAATTAAGTCTTTTGATATACATATTTTAAAATATAAACAATAGTAAAATTAAAAGAAATAAATCAACTTCTAATTTAATATTTATTCTATAAGTTTAAGAATTTCATCCAAGTTACAATAATAAGAGGTCAAAATTATCTTGTAACTTATAATTTTAACTTAATTGTTACAATAGAAACAATACAATTTTGAAAATTAAATTAAGAATTTTAACGAAGTTCAGTGGTCTGGCATGTTGATAGTTGAGGTGTTATTTTTATTTTCACTAAGCAACCACATAACTTACTAGAGAAAAAGTGTAGTAGTACCACATCAGGCCATATAGAATTCATGCCTTCAAAAAGAACTGCATTAAAGCTGGTTTCCACATTGCCAGAAGATACGCCAGAAACAGAAAGCATATGAAGAAGTGATTTAGTTCCTATCCAGAAGTTTCTCTATGACAAAATCTACTTTTTGTACCACAGTAAAAAATACTTCAACTTGTCTTTTCCATTGGATCTTCTGTTGTTTTGACTTTAGAAGAGCATAATGATTGACATAATAGTAAATGTTTTTAAATCTTGCTATATGGACAGATAATGTTTGAAAAGAGTGATATAAAGCAATGAATTAAATTGTTTTTAGAAGAGTTTAGGGAGTATTCTTTGTTTTAAAATAAAATAGACAATGAAAGATGTCAGTCTCAGAGATTGCTATAATCAACTTAATTCTGCTCATGCCATTCAAGTATTCTGGGAATAGGAAAATGAAGGGGGAACTGAATCTAGTTATTTTTTCATTTCAGATATGGTAACTTGTGGTTTAAGCTCTTGCTAGTTTTTTGCTAAAATGCTACAAGAATTTAGACTTAGTGACAACTTTCTTGGCACATTTCACTAAAAAACTAACATTTTTCAAGTGGTTAATGCAGCTTAAAAACTGATGATGATAAGATGTTTTAACTAGTGATGGGACATTACCAGAATTTTTCCTGATTCTGATTTTTTTGAATACTTTCTAAAGTTTCTTTTAGTTTAGAAAAATTAATGATTTACACTATGAGCATAGTTCATTCATTAATTAATAAATATCAAGCTTAAGAATGGAAAATGATTGGGGAATCCAGAATCGATCTTTTGAAAGAAACTCAAAAATTCCCCATTTATATGTAGATATGCACGCTTTTATTAGTAGTGTAAAATAAATTTGAAATCTTATTGCAGATAAAGTTAATATTGCAACACTACCCCTAAACAAATTACAGCTAATCCCTTTTAGTCAAAAAAAAAACTATATCCCATTGTGTCATCTAAGGTTGCCATCTTTGAAAACTATTTTGTTGGCTGACATGATAGCTGGGGAAAGTAATGAGAAGATGGACTTCTTTTTTTTAATGCTAATCACAATCATAACTGCTGTAATTCCATCATATTTAACACTAAATGAGGATTGGCAAATGATGCAATGAACTGAATATCATCATGAGTTAACCAAGTTTTGAATTCATTTACTCAAGCCAGGTTTTCCTGAATGTACAATTGTGTGTACTTATTTGAGGAAAAGAAGAATCAAACAAATGCCTAGACTGATTCATCTTGAAAAATCAATTTCTTAAAACTCAAAAGGGTAGTAAAATTAAAAAACATGAACAATTATTTTTACTTAGAATAATGTGAAACACATTTGAAAATTAAATGTATTACCGCATCTTTTGTGAATTGTAATAAAAACTTTAATAGTTAGTTATGGGAAAGTCGTTATTTTATTAAAAAATGCTTCTATATAGGCTGAAACTAATTTAGTTACAACACCTTAAATATTTTTTGGCAACACTTTAATTTTTATAAATGAACATTTTGAACACTTTTCACAGGTCTACTTATTTATTTTATCTAATATTTTTTCAGTTTAAAAGACAATTTGGTTTATATTTTAAACTGTTTGCCAAACTTGAATATTTCTATGAATAGTAAAATTTCAAGGATTAATTCTTTGTTTAAACCATTTTTGACTATACAAATAATTCTGGATCAGTTCAAATCCTTTTTTAATATTCCCAACTAGACAGATGGTTAACAACTTTTAAAACTGATGACATATTAAAAAACACAATATACAATTGACATGGACCTTTTCTTTGAGGATCATATGTCAATGATACCACATTAAAGTTTTTCACATTATCACTCAGGTACATATCTGTTGTATTTATATGCATCTGTAGTCCTCTGGTGGAAATCTGGGAATTCATTGTAATTAGTATATTTACACGAATAGTAAAATTCCAAGGATGTATGGTCAAAAATTGTTTAAATGTTTTGTCGCTTGCCAGCCTTGATTTAAAATTGCTGGCCAAACTAACCTAATACTGGCTGGGTGGCAACCCTAAATGTCACCCTCTCTCTTCTAAAATGGGACAGTTAGCACCAACCAGGTGCAATCTCTCGTCACTTTGACTATGTGAAAGAAAAGTCCATCTTGATAGACATCACCTCATGTATGGGGCATCATGTATTCTCTGCTTTGTAGACACAAAAGGTTCCAATAAATGAATACTTAATGGTTAATATTTTCATTTTAAAAATGCAATTTCTGATGGAGTGGGATTTGTTTAAAATATATGTTGCTGTCTGATTTAAGGATATGTATGTCATTGGCTAAAGTTTATTAAATGATAGTTGTAAAGGGTCTTCGCTCAGATTACCCTCTTATAACAAGTTATTGAATTTGTTGTTTCACACCTAGTACACACTGTTGAGCGTGAAAGGTTTTGGTGAGATGACATTAACAATCACTCCAATTGGAAACTGTCTTGATGTAAAAAATGTCAGCAACTTTGGGTCATTTATGAACATGTTTAACAAAATGAGAATTTGATTTTCATTCAGCGTTTGTTACCAGGTGAATCAAAATCAAGAAGAATTGTTCAATAATGTATGATACCTGTGGGTTGTAACAATACATTTATAGTTATATTGGTAGTGTAGTACACTGTGATAATGTATAGTAGCTATAGAAACTAAACAAGTATTTAAAAGACAATGAATTGTGTAATGTTTTGGGCAGCCTCATGGATGAGAAATGTTAGCTACAGTTTCTTGAATTTTGCTGCAACTTTTTTAGTAAAATTAGCTAAAATGCTACAGGAAATTTTTCCCAGCTTCAAACCATGCCAACTAGTTCAGTGGTTTAATGAGATGTGATGTTCCTTTGTTTGTAGCCAACATCCTAGAAGTGGCTTTTATATATAAGCATGCCACTTTAGTAGAATTATCAAAGGACTTTGATTCATTCTTGCTTTTCCTCATGAAGATAATAAATTCCAGTCATTAGCAAGCTAACAAATACCATAATTAATTAAATGCATCATTGTTTTAGAACTTTGCCTGAACATAGTTGACTAATTGTGTGACTGACGACAGCTACAGAGAATCCCTTTATCCATGTTTATGAATTGTTTTATATCTAAAGAATTTTTGGTTAGTTACAATTAATCTTTCTTAAATCAGATAGTACAAGATTTATTCTGTAATAAACTTTAACCTAAAGATGTTTTTTTAAGTGACTCAAACATTTGTTAAAATCTTATAGCTGGATAAACTAAAGGTGCTTGTTTTTGTTGTGCATACAGTTTGTACTGTGATTTATCATTTACAGAGAATTCTTCTGAAAGCTTTTCACAAAGAACTTGATTTATTGAACTATCATTATTTATCAAAGTTCTTTGATAAATAATAATAATAAAATATAGTGTGGGTATTTTTGGTTTGGATGAACTCAACATCCACAAATTCCTGCTAGTCATTGTAGAAACACTTTTCCTGATCACTTTTCCTACTCAGAACAAGAATTGAATATGCTGTGAAGAGCTTGGAATATTTCTTGTCCTGTTTGTCTTCAGAGAAACCATACTGAGTAGATTTTTGATAAAAATATTAAAGAACCTTATAAAAGTAGCAAATTGAGGAATGTCATTAGAAGCACTTATAGAACACAATTGATTTCTATGTAATTTCTTGACAATTTCCACTATCTCTTCCACATGCCAGCTGTTTGTAGAATCTGACAATGGAAAATTCTATTTGACATCCACAAAGTGATTGTTGTTTATAAAGATTGTTTCACAATGTATGGTTGAGATCATAAAAAGTTTGTTTTTAGGAAAAAACTAGGTTATCTGAAGCTTTTGTTGCATTTTCTGTGTTGTGGCTGCTCTTGTGCACTGCCTCTGAGATGTAAGCTGCTTTTAATGGCTTCTTTCTTTTTGCAATTGGAACTCCTCCCTGATAGGGATTTAGTGTTGAAGTTGTTTTGATGAGTAAATGACACTTCAAACTATGGTAGCACATTGCTGTTATGATTAAAGGATTGTATCATTGCCTATCGAGGATGTTGGCGTTGCTGTCAATATGTTCTGTTAAATAACTAATTGATTCCTAATGCATTGATTGAAACTGTTTTGATCCCCTTTTTTCGCGTGCTGAATTAGCTTATTTCGAAGGAATATAAAATGGAGAATATTCAAATTACAGATGATCAATTGTGTAACAAATACTGTAACAAATTTATTTTATATAAATTCTAGATTAGAAAGATATAAAGAATTTTTTCCATATAAATTATTTTTATAAATTTCCATATAAATTATTATTATATGGAGGGAAATTACAAGAGATCAGTTTCTTGGAATAATATATAAATTATATAAATAAAATAGGCCAAACAAATAATTTTATTAAGCATACATCAAATCTATAAAAGATTGTAGATATTCGCTTTTAATTTAACAAAAAAATAAAAGTAATTTTGAATACACAGTGGTATTTTGCACCTCAAGCAACTGTAACTTTGCAAATTTTGACAAAAACTAACTTCAAATTTCAAATAATACTTTGAAATTTGAACTGCATGCCAATGAATAAATGTGCTAGAAGTGTAAACACAATTTATTATATGCCCCAAGTTGTCTTTTGCTCTTGTTCTTTAATTATGCTTGTATATCACTTATTATTATTATTATTATTATTTTTTTGTTTTTGGTATGTTTTGGAATTTTTGATTATATTGTGTGATGTTTGTCCATTTTTAACAATTTCTTCTGAGAATTTTTATTTGTTGACCTCTTCTGGACATGCCTATATTTTATGTTTTACTTCAAATTTTTGAAATGGAAGTTCTTAAATTACATTCAAAGTTTAGGAGCATCTTCCTCATACACACTTTGAATTCATTTTACTGTTTGTATGATGTAAGACATTCTGAAATTCATAGCATAATATGCCTAAGACTTAAAAGTTGATTTTTATTCAACCAAAATTTGAAGTAGAAGCTTTGTATTCTTTGTTTAGAAGCTTATTTGTGATATTTAAAAATATGCAAGTTAACATTTTGTTTATCAAAACTTTGTGTGATAAATTAATATATCAATCAAATTTTGATTGTTATATATTTGTTGTTGTGTGTTCTTAATAAAATTGATTTACTGATAATAAAATGAAAAGAACCAAAGAATCACACTGTTAATTTGTTTCCTCAACATAGATTTGTGTACAAACAAGTTATCTTCAAGAATAATAAATTCATCTGAGAACAATTCAATTTAGTATATGAAACAGCTCTAAGAATATATGTTGAATGCCTGTCACACAAATTTCTTAGTTATCATTCTCAGACTGAAATATTATGTTCTGGTTAATGAAAAAATAATAGTGCACAGAAATTGAGATTTAACAATTATACATTTTTGACAATTGATGTAATAATCTGGAATAAGGTAAAAAATTTATTTATGCAAGAAATTAGCAAGCAATTTATGTAAAAAGCCACAAACAGAATTATTTCATATATACATATATAAATTCTATAAAAGTTTGTAAATTATTGTTATAAGAAGTCACAAGGAGCCATCTGATTTTCATTCTATAAATATTTTCTAAGACTGTTGTGTGATATGATTGACTACTTCTTGATCAGTGATTTGAATTTATATTGAGATTTTTGTTGGCAAATGGCTAGAGCAGATTCAGATATCTCGATATTCAGTACAGTACTATAACATGTTAAGCTGACTGGCCAGCTTCATTTATTGTGGGTTAGCTTTAACTTAACTGAGATTGGCCAGTTTGAGTGAATGTAGGAAATAATTTTGCTTGTTACCTATAAATTAAGAGTTCTGGATTAATTTGAAATCATATTCCCAGTGATAGAATTGAACCCCATCTAGTCAAATTTTAAAATTTAAACTAAATGTTTTTGCAGCATGTTTGAATCTTTAGTTGGTTCTTTTCATGTGTTCTTATATTTAATTAAACTTTTGTTAGTTTGGTTAGTATAATGAAATTTTGTTTTCTTTATAGCGTTGGAAGAGGAAGAGGTTTCAGCAACCAATTTACTACAGGGACAAATATTCCATTTGAAAGTAAGTTTACAACTTTCTTTACATTAAAACTTCCAGGTAGGAAACTTTTTCATTTTTAATTCATAGATGTATTCTCTAGAAAGATTTTGAAAAAAAATTTATTTTTACCAAAATTTTTTAAAATTTTCAGCTGATTAAATAAAAATAATCAAATACTAATTGCAAATATAACTTTGAAAACTAATATGAATAATTTTCATAATTTGTAATTGGTTTTTGATATTTTATGGATAAATACAGTATATCTAAAAGAATATAAGATGTTTTAAGAATATAAGATATTTTGGAGAAAACTTTTGTTTTTAAGAGTTATTCTGTAAGGACTTGTTGATTGGGCTACAATTTGAGAAAAGCTGTAGACCTGTAAATTCCCACTGTCATTCGTCTGTCCATGTGTCTTTACTTAATCTTGGACGGAATTAGATGAATCCATGACCAGCTATGGGAAGGAGTTACTGATTAATTATATACAAACTTATGCAAATCGGAAGTTATGTTGTTTCAATTCAAAAGTTTCCTATGAAAGCAGTTAATAGATGATCAGCATGATTCTCTTATTAAAGGAAAAGTATGTTGTACAGGGTCAAGACTACTAATTTGAGGTGGGGAGCATATATTTAAATGAAATAAATTAAAAATATGATTAAAATTTGCAACCTGGCATTGACTCATAATAATCACTTGTTAGTCTTAGCTGGAGGATAACAGACCACCTACACTCAACAGCATACAACACTTACTCTGTCTTAAACATGCAGGAAATATGATAGTTTTGTACTGACTGTCCTATATACAGGACCATACTATAAAGGCCTATACATCTGTATCAACAAGTACATATACAAGAAATGGCAAGAGAACTGGGACAAACAACTCAACAATAACTCACTGTCAAACCAGAGTTAATAAAATGGATGACCAGCCAACAGAAAAACCATAACATAAAAATAATACCTGCACAACTGAGAACTGGACACACAAGACTAACACAGTTATGTAATAACAAAGGATATCCAACTGATATGCTCAGTTTGTCATACTCCACTTACCATCCAACATATATTACTAATGTGATCTCAGTAACAAACAACCAGAGAATGCTACCTTAAACAACAACAAATCTTCAGAAGACCCAGCTCTATGGAATATACTAGACAATAATGGACAAATTCAACCTACAATAGCATAACTGAAGGAAAAAAACTTACATATAGAACATACAACAGAATAATTGACATGTTGCCAGATCTTTTAGGTCTGAACATAACTGGCTAGACCTGGCCACTCTTTGGCCTACCTAGGTTCTTGTGCCACAAAAAACCCAAAATCTAATCAACCAATCAAACTAGAGGAGGATATACACATGCAGGGCAAAATGGACAAGTGAAATTGCAATTCCACCTGTGGAAGAGCAGCCACACTTATTGCAAGCTGTTTTTTGATTTTTGGTGTTGCATGAGTAAAAAGTGATGCAGTTAGCCAGAATGAAGACAATTTCCATGCTTGTTTAAATGCTGTATTTTTGAAAATTTTTTTTTGATAAAATAAGAGAACAAATTAAGAATTTGTAAATATCTATTAATTGGTTAAGCTTCCTACATCAAGAGGCCTTTCAAAATTTTCATTTCATTACTGATCATATGATGATAATTCAAAATACCAGATTATATGCAATGAATAGATGTTATTAGTGGCTGTTCAAAATGTGGAAAATGCTGCAAAAGTTGGATTGGAGTCTACTTTTGATGAATTGCAGAGTGGTAAGACAATAGATCTTAATAATTGCCACAAATTTGCCATTTTTCTTGATGTGCAGCATGTATTCATGTGCCTTAATCACAATATTTTGCCAAGTCCTTTTATCTATCATGTATAGTGGTATGTCTATCATCATTAAAAATCTTACATCACTGATGTTAACACTATTGTTTAAACAAAATTGTTACTTTTTTTTACAGAAGTCTTGTTACATGTAAACTTGTTGAGACTTAAAAAAAATTATACACAATTTTATTGTAGTAAAAATGTGTACACAGTACAGTATAAAGTATTTTTAAAATTCCTTAATATATGGATGGTCATGTATGAGTAATATTTATCAAAGAACTAGATTGGGATATGTTAAAAAATGCATTTAAAATTAGTTTTTACATGAATAGTGTGGTTTTGTTTTTAGTAAAATTTTGTGAATGAGAATCTTTTCAGTTTTTAACTTTCTAATAAGCCTATACAGTTGACCCCCCCTATAAGATCATAGATACGTTCCATTCTTTAGGAATCCGATTTCTTAAGAGTCCTTCCAATCACAACCCGACACGTGTGAAGTTTACGGACTACGGCTGTTTGAAAGGTTTTCTTCCGTAAAATTAAATAGATTCTAGACTAATCCGACTCAACATTTCCAAAATACGTATATTTTTTTGGAAATAATCCGTATAAACTACGCTATAAACAAAAAAATTGTAGGATTACTTGCTGAGTGTGCACCATTCGACATGGCCATTGCTCAAGCTTGTTTTCGTCGCGAAGCAGCACACCAAACCGCGGCTGATTTCTGATAACTTATTTCTCTGCGAAAACTTCGTTAAACTTTGGCGACATCGTTAATATAAATAATTTTTATGGCCGTTGAATAAGAAATGTGTCTTTCACAAGAAATGTATAAAATTACAGTGCTGTATTAGACTTATGGTACCTAATTTACATACTGTACAGACGATAGTTAGCGTAAAATCTCCATAGCGTGGCGCTACATGGTGGAAAATATATATATAATTATAATAAAGTTAAATAAATTAAGTTAATATATAATTATATATACAGTACCTAATTTATATATAATTATATATACAGACGAAACTAAACTCAATTTACCTGCCTAAATGTCCGTAGCATGGCGCTATGGATGGCGGGAAAGTAGTTCAGCTGCCCGATGACGTTTTACGTAATTATAGGAGTTTTTTACTGTTTTTTATGGATACTGTCGCAATTTTTTTGCAGTTTTATAGGAATCGTAATTATAGGAACCGTAATTATAGGGGATCTACTGTATACTGTAATATAGTATGAAAAAAGATTAAAATTGAGTAGTAGAAAAGTTAAGTAAAAAATTGATACATACTCTTTATATTTAATTACCATAAAAATAAACTTGCTGAAATTTCATTAATCTCATTATATTGGTTTAAATTTAATGACATTTAAATCATTGGTATTGTATATTATCAATGGTTTTATATCAAGAATCTGCTAGCACAAATGTTTTTCTATATTAATTTTGTTTAATGAAATTCTCTGAAGTTTGCTTTCATGAAATTATTGATATTGCAAAAATTACTTTAATAGATTGTCTATTTTTAATGTTTACATGAGTAATTAATAAACTAAAGGAACAAAATTAAGTTTGTCTTAAGGATGACAATCATTATTGTAGTTAAATTTTAAAATCTTTATAAACAGAATATAAAATTTTTTGTTAAAAAAATTTATAGACTTAATATTTTTTCTCTTCTTTAGGAGAAGCTGAAGCCAAACCTCAGTTTACAAATTACACAACTACTAGTTCTTCAGATATGTGGGATGATGATGCTGACAATTTTATTGATACAAAGCAAAAACCACAAGTGGCAGATGGTTGGGATTCTGAACCAAATAATCAGTATGATTCATATAAACAGAACGTAGGAAATTCCAATGAATGGGATGAATCACCCGCATTTTTAAATGGTAATAATGAAGATTATGATCAAATACGAGGTGGTGGTGTAGGAAAATCGAATAAAGGTAAATTTTCCTATTACAATATTTCGTGTTATTAGTTGTCGGTCTTTACATACGAATTTTTAACCCTCCAAACTGAGAAATTTAATGTTTTAAATGAAGTTTTTTAGCAGTAGCAGTTCAATTTTATTAGCTAGTAGAATGGTTTAATTTGAGGTAAATATGAGAGAATATAATTTCTGTATTCACTAGACTGATCTAAATATTAAGAATATAGTTTGAAATTTTTCAGAATCTTTCAATTAAAAATAAAATGTTGTTAATATTATTTAAACTAATTAAATATAAATTGCCTAAATTATTTGCATTAAGTAAATAATCAGTTACAAGGAATAGAAAGTTACTGCTAATTTTACATTTGAATTTAGTAATTTATAAAGATTTAATTTAATATAGATCATTTTATTATTCATTAATTACAATAAGTTTTTTAAAAAGAGACAAATCAATAGAATGTAATAGGTTGAAGGATGTGTGTGTTGATTTGCATACATTTGGAAAGTAATTAATTATCCTGCATAAAATTTAATTTTTATAGTAACATTAGTGATGTATTCTAGTATGTTTTGTATTCCTGAAATACTAGTGTATACTACTGGAAGTATTAAAATACTAAGATTTTTCACTAGAAGTAAAATATCAAGATGTTTGCTGAAAAGTCATCTAATGTTATGAGTGTAATAGAATATCGATTTTTGTAATATATTGATAATGTGATAGTATCTAATGCTTGCATGTGTGTACACTTAGTCACTTAATGAATTTTACCATAAATTTTATTTGTAGATACAATAATGAAATTAAAAATTCTTCCATTCAATTTGATTTTGTATAATTAGCTAATGAATGAATATTATGAAATTAAAAAAAAATTGTTACTTAGTTTGTTGAATTTGACAGGTTTACATTATGAAGTATTATACCATACAATAAACAAATCAGGCATTGTATTTTTCATAAAAATTGTTTATTTTTAAAAATATGTTAGATCAAGTAATGCTTGAATTTTTAAGAAATGCATACATAAATACGTAAAAAATAAAAATTATTATTATATTGATAGAATGGTGAATTTTATCAAATGCTTGCATTAAATTTTTAAAGTCTGAAGAAAACAATATACAGTGAATATAATTTTAAAATAAAATTTAAATATATTGAGTTTTTCTTACAGTAAACCTGTGAGAGCAATGACTAGACAAATGTTCATCTTTTGTTAGTTTTTAAGTACAGTAATACCCCAAACTTATGTGATAGGTGGGANAAACTATGGTAGCACATTGCTGTTATGATTAAAGGATTGTATCATTGCCTATCGAGGATGTTGGCGTTGCTGTCAATATGTTCTGTTAAATAACTAATTGATTCCTAATGCATTGATTGAAACTGTTTTGATCCCCTTTTTTCGCGTGCTGAATTAGCTTATTTCGAAGGAATATAAAATGGAGAATATTCAAATTACAGATGATCAATTGTGTAACAAATACTGTAACAAATTTATTTTATATAAATTCTAGATTAGAAAGATATAAAGAATTTTTTCCATATAAATTATTTTTATAAATTTCCATATAAATTATTATTATATTGATAGAATGGTGAATTTTATCAAATGCTTGCATTAAATTTTTAAAGTCTGAAGAAAACAATATACAGTGAATATAATTTTAAAATAAAATTTAAATATATTGAGTTTTTCTTACAGTAAACCTGTGAGAGCAATGACTAGACAAATGTTCATCTTTTGTTAGTTTTTAAGTACAGTAATACCCCAAACTTATGTGATAGGTGGGACCGAGCAATAACCACGTATGTCAAATTTGCGTAAGTCGGGGTATAATTTTGCATATAAATACAAATAAATAATTTTTAATTGGGGCCAGAGACTAAAGAAAACAATAATTTAGAAAAAAATGTTTAATAAAATCTTATATAATACATTTGTATAATATAGTTTGTTATAAATATGTATTATATAAGATTTACACATTCACATTCACTTTTCACATTTACTTGATTATTACACCATAATTTTAACATTGTTTCCATCTCAGCGACAATACTGTGATGTTTACGAACGATGCTTGAATTTAAAGATTGAGCGTTTTTTGCAGCTTCGAGAATTTTTTCTATACCTTTTATAATTGTTCCGACTGTCAATTCCAGTAGATCAAACTTCTTTGCCAATTCACAAATTTTCATTTTTGTATCAAAGTCTTCAATAATGTTAACTTTACATTCCAAAGATAAAGTTTTTCTTTTTTTGTTTGATTCAGAAGAATTAGTTCTACTTTGTTTAGATGACATAGTAATCTCTGAAGTCTCTGTAGATATAACAAACACAGAAACGAATAACACAAAATAAATTGTAGCTATACGTCGATTCCGCGCAACACATCTGAACATGTAAGCCGAACAATAGTGTGGGGGGGGTGAGTAATCAAGAGTTGCATGGCATTCAAACAAAAGACGAATCAACAAGATTTGAAAATTGTGTAACTCCGGGTTCACGTAAGTTGAGGTATTACTGTAATTAAGTATTTTATTCTAAATATTACAATAACGTAATTAAACTGATATTATAATGCAACTTTAAAACTTCATTAATTTTAAAACAATTATTATTTTAAGTAAAATTAATTAATAGCTTAATAATAAAAGAATATATTTATAATTTAAAGTAAATTTAAATTTGTAAGAAATTTAAAGAAAAAGATTAAACTTCAACTTTTTAAGTTTTAAAATGTTTTGCTTTGATTCTTCTGAATGAAATTACAAATTGTATCAAGTTTAAATATTTTACTTAAGAATGCTAATCCTACTTTCAACTCATCAAAAATAATTACAATTATTGATAAATGCTAATTACTTTTATTGTCTTTATTGTTTTGCTTTAAGTATTTTTTTATGTATTTTACAGGTTGTTTTAAATGTGGAGAAGATGGTCATATTAGTAGAGATTGCTCTAAAAATTCTTTTCAGTCTGGTGGGAAAAAAGGTATTTCTATTTAATTCAATTTGATTTTTTAAAATTATGAAATGTATAAAATTGAGAAATTTTTAACTTAATAGCACAATCAAAAAGGGGGAAATTTTCAAAAGGTAAGGGTGATTACCTTTCAAAAGTCGTTCTGCCATAAGCTGCATTTGTTTTTGATGCACAATCTGAATAGCTTGTTTGCATTTTATTTTGTGAAACGAATGTTATGCATAATAATAATCAGTTTGTTTTGATTTGTTTGGTTTTTGCTTAATTTATTCCTGTTTGTCAAGCTTTATGTTGCTAAATAAATATAAGATTATATATATAAAACTTTATAATTTTTATTTAAAACTAAAACTATAAAAAATTAACATGACTTCCCATATTAGCAATTATTATATCAGTAATTTTGTATATCTATGTTAAAATTATTAATAAATGTATATAATTTCACCTCAATCATAAATTAAATAATTAGTTGAAATATAATATAATTAAATGGTATGCTAAAATATATTAAAAATGCTGTCATTTACTAAAATCCATTTTTTTTAGTAAAAAATTCACATTTAAACTGAGTGCACAGAAGAGTGATTAGAAATTAGAACTAATCTGATCTATTAAAAAACATTAGTATTTTTTAAAGTTGTTTGTACATTTTCATATTAATTACTCAATATATATGTATCGTTTTTTTTTCTTTGAAAATTGTAGTGGTTGTTTCAAAATAAGAAGTATGGATGCTTTTATTTAGTCATAGATTTTGATTTTTTTTTTCTTTGGTTGTCATATTTAATGTTTATTAATGGCAAAGCATTTCTTGGATTGGAAACTGTTTAATTTTTTTTAAATTAGTTTAATTAGGTTTTTTTTTTGAAAATGGTCAGGAATGCTAGTATTAGTTTTATTCTTGATTTATAATTTGCCTCAAAGATAAGCAAGTTTTTACTATTTCATAAACTTAAAAACAGATATTTAGAATTCTCATTTCATAAATGTTATCAATAATCAATTCAATCATTAATTTTCTCTTTTTGGATACAAGATTGTCTTCATTTTACATTATCATAAATATTCTTAAGTTGTAAATTGTTATAGTGCAGAAATAGATAAATTAATAATTATTTTGACATCTTAGCTTGACCTTAAATATTGAATAAGAATTTTAATATGTAGTTTCATTAATAATTCTACTGACTCTTCTAATATATTATGAATTTTGATGTGTTAGTTCTGTATATGGTATTATATGTAAAAATTCCTTAAAATAAAACAAAATTTTATTTTAGATTGTTATAAATGTGGAGGAAGTGGTCATATATCTAAAGACTGCACCAGTTCCAATAATAGAAAGAGTTCAGCTTGTTTTAAATGTGGTGAAGAAGGCCACATGTCTAGAGATTGCACTAATTCTGATAGTAGAAAAGGATCTGCTTGCTACAAATGTGGTGAAGAAGGCCACATGTCTAGAGATTGCACTAATTCTGATAGTAGAAAAGGATCTGCTTGCTACAAATGTGGTGAAGAAGGTCACATATCTAGAGATTGCACTAATTCTGATAATAAAAAAGGATCTGGTTGCTTTAAATGTGGGAAAGATGGGCACATGGCAAAAGATTGTACAGAATCAAAACCAGGTGAGGCTTTTTGGAATTTTTCATTTTAGATTAATTTTAAACATTTAATATTTTTATTGACAATTTAAATATATCTGAAACAAACACTTGATTATTTAATTAGCAAAATCTTGTTAAAACTAAGCAAACATTCTAAATTTTTAGAACTAAATTTATCATTCCTGAAAAATAGAACTTTATTTTACTTAGAAAATGAAAGATTTCTCTATCAAAGAATGAATTTCATTGACAGTAATAAAATGTATTGTCTCTGACACTGCATTACTTTAATAACACAAATGATACACATTGAAATTAACAATAGAAAGTTTTGCCCTGGGTTTAACTAGAGCAAAAATTAGGCACCTGTTTAGTAGGTTTGAATGTGTCCTGATAATGGGGAAAGAATGTTTTCAAACTTGGCACTATTAACTTAATAAAGTACTGTAGTTAAAGATAAATTGTTCATTTGGTTTGACATTAACTGCATTAATGTTTGAATGTATAATCACGTACCCCAACCAATTACGGCATGTAGATAAAGAAAACAAACAAAAACGTATGTTTTTTGAACTTCTTCAGAGTTCATCAGGTTTTGTAACGATTCTCCAATGGTTGTTTGTAACAGATTTTAGAATAAAATTCAAACAAATTATTAAAATCATGTCGTGCCTTTGCATAGTTGCCCTGTCAAAACTCAACAAATGGCTAAATTGTGTTGTCAATGAACTCTTGCCAGGCCATTGACAAAACCATTTCCTCTTTATAATTTACTAGCAGACCCCGCCATGCGTTGTTGTGGCTCAAAATGTATCTATTATAAATTTATAACACTTCCCCATGAAGGGAATATCGAAAAATTTCTTATTAGTGTACATTCTGTTGATGTACCCTATTAAAACGCAATCAAAAATGCAAAAACCCGCATCTAAAATAGTATAAATAGAAGCAGAGTTCTTTACGGTAAGCCTTAATCCTGTCCATCTCCCTGGGGGAGATTTCGACATGTATATTATATAAAAACACGTGCGTATTCAAATGCAGCATTGTATCAAAATTTCAAAGGAATCGGTAGGAACAAACAAACATTACATTTTTATTTATATAGATAGATAGATGATGATCCGCTTTAGTTCATTTTCACAGAAAAGCAAACTTAGGGTGCCGTACTCGTAGCGCCATCTGTTGGACATAAAAGCCTTAACCATAGATGATATCCTTTAATTTATATGAATGTTTAACGGAATAATATACAGCCTATGTCCTCCCTGAAGTTCCATTCTAAACATTGGTGAAAGAATTTTTGAAGTTGGATGAGTAGTTTCGGAGATTACCTGCTACATCCAAACTTACATACATACTTACAAACATTACCTCTTTATAATATTAGTATACATGCATGTAGATGTAAGATGAAGAACTTGGAAGTTTTGAAAATGTTTGTTTGAATGTATAGATTGATATTTACTTTTGCTTTATAAACATTTTTGATTACTTGAATTTCACTATACTTAATTGTAAAAGTTACAGGTAACAATGAACTTAATCAATAATTTAACAGAAAAAATATATTGATGTGAAATTCGAAGTTAATAAAAGCATTTAATACTTTAAAAGTTTAATAAATTTAAAATAAAAATGCCCTCAACCAAAGGAATTTGACCCTACAAAAACGAAATCTAAAGTACATGCGAGAATTATAACTCTTTTTGTTTTAATATAAACATTCTCACGATCAAACCGTATATAGTTTACAGTTATCGGCGAAATTCGTCATATTGTTGTCATTCTAACACCACCTTTAACCCCACACCTGCTAAAACAATTGATCACCTGACGAATTTTCCCACCAAAAAGGTATAAAAGCCATCCTCCTTCCCCCTCTCCGGGGAGTCGCTGATCAAGAAGTCGCCATCGCACTATTAAGATAGAGTTTCGCTTTCCTCTAATCGGCCGCACCACATATTAGAAGACCTTCGATCCCAACCCTCAACTTGGATTCCGCCTTTCAGAAATTAAAGACCCTCGATATCATCGCAAGAGGTATGAACGCTTTATTGTAAGCTCTCTCTCTCACACGTGAATGGGACTTAGTGTGTTAGAACGTTTGTTTTATTATTTGTCTGTAATAAATTGTTAGTTTAGAAAAATGGTGTCTTTATTCGACTATGCCAACGCCTTATCGTCGGCCCCGTAACTCTCCTCCACTCGCGTAACGCGTAACCGAACGTTACTACCATCCCTGACAAGAAAGAAAGTGACCGGAAGGAGAGGACTCCTCTTCCCTCCCGGTGGCTCACATATTGGTGTCACAGAAGTGGGGTTTGAATCTAGAAATCCCTAGAAACCTCACATATATTTCTTGAGACTATACATACAATATGAATCAATTTCTTTTGGTCTCTTCACATGCTATTGAGTTATGCCAAGTGTTGATAATAATCAACACTTGGCATAACTCATTCATTTATTTCAGTTTTTGTCGAGACGTGTTCTTACACACGTTTCGGGCTTCGTTTTGCCCCTCCTCAGTCAACTAGAAACACACAAAACCAACCTTATACACATTATGACCCGACATATGAATTTAAAAATCTTAAAAAATTTTTTATATTTTACAAGTAACATACCTTTTAAAACCCTTTTAAAATCAAAAATTCCATCCTTTGACGTATTTCTACAAGCGGGAATCATACACTATACTTTACTAGACTTTGAAAGTTATTCACAGAAGATTCCTTGAAATATCGAGAAAAGACCATAACGGACATGTAGCATAGGCCTTCTTTTATTTTTATATAATGTTATTAACAGTTCTTACGTAAACAACACAGCTAAACTTCACAGCGTTTAATGGTAGTATTCTTTTATGGTGATTTGCATAATAATGTATCCTTCCAAAAATTTTTTTCTTTCCTTCTAAAAATCTTCAAAAGAACCCAGTTTTTAATTAAACTTAAACATTAACTTAAATATTAGCTGTATATTGAATTTATCCTTACATAATTATTCACAGAAAATTTCCGGAAATATCGAGGAGAACTTCCAATGGGCATGAAGCACAGTTCTTTAATATTTACACTAATTCGTATACATTTTATACTATTAAACTTACTTTTTATCAATCTTTCTATCCTTATTTGTTGTTAATAATTCTTACCTAAGTTGCTATACTTCATTTTTTAATTTTTATTCTTTCATCTCTTAGCATCTAATGGCGTTTTCTTTGTATGATGATTTACATAACCATGCGTTCTTATTTAAAATTTATTTCAAGTAAGACTTTTAGCTATCTTTCAGATTTCCTCTAAAGAACACTTCAAAAATCCTCAAAATTTTTAATATTTTTTTTTTTAAAAACCTTTTTCTTAAATTTTTTCCTTTTTCAAAAATTTCTTACAGTATTTTTAGCCAGTTCTCGTTGATCTTTAAACTTAAGTTTTTTATTTATACAATGTTTATTTTTTAAAATTTCTATACTCTATTTCTATACTCTAAAAAAATTTCTATCAAGTTTAATTTAATATAATTTCAAAAATATTTTAATAAATTTGTTAAAAATCTCCCCCTAACTCTAGATTTTTACAAAAAAAATCTTGATTTTAATTTTGCCCAATTAAATGTACTTAGTTTACTAATGAGAAATTATCAATAATTCAGATTAAATTTTAATAGAACTTACTGAAGATAGGTGTCACTTTTTTCCAGTCCCATCATTTTGGGTGAAAAGTTAGCAAGGTTTGACTATTTTCTAATGTTTGATTAGTTTTCTTTAAATAATAATAAATTATAAGTACCTATTCAAAAATGACAAATCTAAATATTGCACTAAAATACAAACATATCCAAAAAATGTTTTTTTACATAAACTTGCTAATCAAATAATACAAGAATTTGAAAGTGTCAGCCAAGTTTGACTGAAAGATACATTGAATTGAATATGAATTTCAGGCATGATAGTTCCATTATATTTATGATGCTTCAGTTTCTTTAGATATTTGTATTTTTTTTTATTAACTATATTTATTTTTAAGGTACAACACAAAGAGAAGCTCCTTACATTCCACCTGACCCTATAGAAGATGAATCAAAGTTATTTGATAGTGTACCTACAGGGATTAATTTCTCCAAGTATGATAAAATTCCAGTTGAAGTTACTGGACAGGGTGCTCCTCCACCTTTAACTCATTTTGAAGATGCAAACTTTCTACCTACACTGTCTAAAAACATTCAAAAATTAAATTACACCAAACCAACTCCTGTACAGAAATATGCAATCCCTATAATTCTTGCTAAACGTGACTTGATGGCTTGTGCACAAACTGGATCTGGAAAAACAGTAAGTGAATATTAAGTTTCTTTTTGTAAATATTTTTAAATTAAGAAATGGAAGTTTTATAACAGATGCCACTAATAAGCCATTAAACTATCATTTTTTTAGTATATTTAATTTGTAATCTATCTTTTATGCTTCAAAACTTCTACTTTCAAATCAGTTTTTTAATTTATCAGCCAGACATTATTTTTAATTATTCACAACATAAAATTTTTTATCTTTTAATCTGATAAAATACTTCTAAGATTTTGTACTTATATATTTAATATATCTAATAGTATGTTTAAGATTTTTCAAATTAAATAATAGAAATTAATATTCTAAGAAATTTCATGACTAAGGGTTTCTAATTCTTATTATTGAAATAATTCTTGATAATTTATAATTTTTTAAATGGTATCTTAAATTGTTTATAAAAGTTGATGTTTATTTATTTGAATTACATTCAATTTAAATTACTAAATAATTTCAGGCTGCATTTCTTTTACCTATCATCCAAACTATGTTTGAATCTAATGACCTTCCAAATCCTAATAATTTAACAACACAAGAACCTTGGGCTGTTATTATATCTCCTACCCGAGAATTAGCAATTCAAATTTATAATGAAGCAAGAAAATTTTCATTTGGAAGCATTCTGAAGGTAGAACTTATCTACGGAGGAACATCTGTTGGACATCAGTCATCTAGACTAAGACGAGGTTGTCATATTTTAGTAGCAACACCTGGACGCCTTTTAGATTTTATAGACAAAGATAAGGTAAGTATCTTACAACATACACACACTTGGATTATTAACATAATCCTGCAAAAGTTTTTAACATTAATGATCTTAGTTTTTATACATATAACAATGAAACTCTGAATGGATTTAGTTTAAAACTTAATCTCCTCCAACAGTTATGCAGTATTGAAACTTTTTTCCAGTAACAACTATATATATAATTTTTGTGTTTAAGTTGCGTGTTTCAAAATTACATCAGAAATTAAATTATCTTTTATTTCTGTATTTTATCATTTTTTCTAAAATGTGAAACACTTGTGGATTGCACATTTTGTTTATTTTATTGTAATTTGATCCATTAAAGCAATATAATAAACATTAAAATTTCACTTTGCTGTAAATTATCTCAGGTTTCAGATATTGACAAAATTTGTTTGTAATTAGAGAAGGATATGTTGTCTTTCAAGTTCAGAGTAGTAAAGCTTTATTACTTTAAAGAGAGATTAGCAGTGGTCACTGCTAACCCCCACTCCGAATGTAAACAAGCCAGTGTTTTACTACCTTGTAAATAAGTTTCCATTCCACTGGGTCAAAGGACAAAGCTTTTGTTTTGTTATTTAGAAGACTGTTTTAACATGTAATAGCCAGTTTTGTTAGAACTGATCTTAATTTTCATTCTTTCTATGCCATTCTGTGTTATCAAAAATAGATTAGCTTAATTAAAAAATTAATATTGCTCAAAATATCACAAGATATCATTTATGAGAATTTTATCAAACGAATTTGTCATTATGCCTTAACACTGTTACAAGATAAATGTGTTACAATTTTAAGTTTGTATTATCAAAATTTTTTTGCTTAATTGTGTGATAGCAACAATGTGAAGCTTAGTGTGTCATATTGTCACATGCAGCACAGTGTTGCCATTTAAAGTTAATTGAAACTTGTTTTTGTTGTGCAATGAAGAAATAACAGAGAAAATAAAAAATACTTTGTAAGAGTAAATTTATTTTAAATTGCTGTTGTATTGCATCTCACTTGTTAAAAAAGTGACAGTTGCTAGCATGAATGACCTATATTTCCTGTTGTGTGGCAGCTCTCAAACTCCAACATTTTACCCCCCTCTAAGTATTTAGTAGTAAAAATATTAACTGTCATCCAGGTTGAAAAGTTGAGAAAGTAGAACTTTTCAATTTTTTTACAAAATTTTAGATATAAGAAATGTTGAAAATGTGCTGTGGCATTTGAATGTCACAACACATTTTCAACATTTCTGAGATGCCATGTGATATACAAAGAGTTATTATTTTACAAATCAATTATATTAAAAATGTGTTCTTATTTCTGTTGGAAAAGGTAACCTCATTTAAGCATGATGCTTTTTTTTAGAATAAACAACTCAGAGCAGTTCAATAAAAATATTTTAGGAATTTCACATTATTTGCTTCAGTTTTATATAACAGTTTTATATTCTTCATTTAATCAAGAAAAAAAAATTGAAAAAATATAGTTTTCATTCCATTGTTATTGCAGTAGGCATATTAGTGCACTAGTATTTCACTTTCAACTTTTTTTCTGTCTTGGCAGTAAAAAAAATATTAATGAAAAGACGGTAGAAAAAAAATTTTTGTTTTAAAATTCAATATGTGGTGATGATTTATAAAAAGTGGGTAATGCCAAATATGTTTTTAAATTAACTAGGATTTCAATCAACATATTCTTACAACTATGATTTTGTGGTTCTGAATTAATTTTGAAAATTACAATTTTCCAGCAAAACATTCAATTAGTTATAACAATATACAAATAGTATTTATAATTTTTATAATGTCAATTAAATTTGATTTAATAAGTTTACACTATATAAAACTACTAATTTAATGGAGAATACTGCATTGAAGTAGTCTTGGAATAGTTATAAATCACAAGTAAAATGACAAAGCCATTTTTGGGACGAGACTTGTGTCTCGGACAGCGTGAGCAATGAATACGCAAATCTCACACTCGTGCCTGCTTGTAGAAACAGTCTCAGCATTTCATATTTTCTTTTGACCCAGTTCTCGGACCCCTGATTACCTACAAATCTGGCTTATTTTATGTGCACATGATTTGGGCACCAAATACTCTGCCAAATTGCAACTCCTGACATGTACTCCTTCATACCTCTAACGTATGCAGATGTTGATAGAAGTGCGATTTTAGAGACTCGTCAATAATGGTTTGAATTGTTAGTATGTGATTACAATATTTTTAAGAAATTGTGGATAGTAAATATATTAAATAATTTTTTTAATGGAATGCTCCAGAGTATCAAGACTTTGCTAGATTATATCAGATTACATTATAAAATTTTAAACCCAAAGATATTGTTTTTAAGGGAAAAATTGCATGTTAGATGAATTTATAATTTTAAAGCTATGAATATTTTTGAATTATTAGGTTTTGTTCTGATAATGAATTGTGCTTGCAATTCCATGAAATTTTCTTCATTAACAGAAAATGTTTAATGTTACCAGTGATGTCATTTTTCAGTATCAAATTGCACTCAGTATGAACTAATTTTTATGCCTTGCGCACTTAAAAGTTTATAGTTACTGCACATGATTTTTATATTTTGAATAGTTATTTTGCTCTATTTTTATTTGCTTTTCTTACTGGGATATGTTTTCTATACTGAAAAGATTTGTTAAGCTTAGTTCACACTAACATTTGTAAGCAAAAGTGAAATGCAAAAAGCAATTTAAATGTAATTTGGTTATCCAAATTAGTTGTGTGGTGAGATTTCTAGGTTAGTAAATCGTTAGTTTTTAAATTTAATAACTTGTCGTATTTATCTTACAAAGAAACTTAATTTAAAATTGAGATTTAGTAAAATTAATATTTAAAAAATTTTTTTATATTATTAAAATATTTAACATATATTGCTTAATATAATTTTTAAAATTTGTTTAAATGTTAATTTTGAATTACAGGTGTCATTCTCACAGTTACGATATCTGATATTAGATGAAGCAGATAGAATGTTGGATTTAGGATTTATCCCCGAAATAAGAAGAATGGTACAAAATCCTTCCATGCCGCCAAAAGGCCAACGTCAGACTTTGATGTTTAGTGCTACATTTCCACCACCCATACAGAGATTAGCTTCAGAATTTCTTGACAATTATTTGTTTTTAACTGTTGGAATTGTTGGAAGTGCGAATAGTGATGTGGAACAAACATTTTACCAAGTTTCACAGTATGATAAAAGACAAAAGTTAACTGAAATTTTAAGTACAACAGGTAAATATTTTTAATAAAAATTTATATAGATTAATTAGTCGGTAATCACTACAGATTTTCCTTCATTTCTGCAGAAGCGGTGTGTTAATTGGGGACTTTTAATTTATACACTGTAATAACATGTAAGTGGAAACAAGATGTGTAGGTATTGATACTTTATCCACATAAAATCACTATTATTTACATTTTTCACCGAATGCTCTCTTTCTGGTGTTTAAAAACAAAACTATTCTATCTGGGTTGTTTGATTCATTCTTGTGTATTATCAGCAGTGAAGATAAAAAGTGATAGAAAAAGCAATGTTTACTGTTGGTTCCAAATTGCAATTTCAAAGCTTTACAAGAGCCTGATATAAGTTTTCGTCTATTCTCACACGAAAAACGGGAAAAACAGATGATTATTTGGAAATTGATTGGTTATATTTGAGCTCTGAATTCTGAAAGAGTGGATTAGACTGTTAAGAATTGGCAGTTTACCGATTGTCCAGCTTTACACGAACAAGTTACACTGTCAATTTTAAAACATTTTGTTAAAGTTTAAAATACCAGTAATTTTGTGTAGGACACAGGGCCGGATTTAAGCATTTCGAAGCTTTAAACTGAACTCTGTAAGGCCCCTTGCCAACTCTTCACAATTTTAGAAGTCAATCATAAAAAGAAAAGAATTAAATCAGACTATGACTCTGATTTAATACGGATATTGGAAGAAAAAGACGTGAGGTTTNTGTGGTGAAGAAGGCCACATGTCTAGAGATTGCACTAATTCTGATAGTAGAAAAGGATCTGCTTGCTACAAATGTGGTGAAGAAGGCCACATGTCTAGAGATTGCACTAATTCTGATAGTAGAAAAGGATCTGCTTGCTACAAATGTGGTGAAGAAGGTCACATATCTAGAGATTGCACTAATTCTGATAATAAAAAAGTATCTGGTTGCTTTAAATGTGGGAAAGATGGGCACATGGCAAAAGATTGTACAGAATCAAAACCAGGTGAGGCTTTTTGGAATTTTTCATTTTAGATTAATTTTAAACATTTAATATTTTTATTGACAATTTAAATATATCTGAAACAAACACTTGATTATTTAATTAGCAAAATCTTGTTAAAACTAAGCAAACATTCTAAATTTTTAGAACTAAATTTATCATTCCTGAAAAATAGAACTTTATTTTACTTAGAAAATGAAAGATTTCTCTATCAAAGAATGAATTTCATTGACAGTAATAAAATGTATTGTCTCTGACACTGCATTACTTTAATAACACAAATGATACACATTGAAATTAACAATAGAAAGTTTTGCCCTGGGTTTAACTAGAGCAAAAATTAGGCACCTGTTTAGTAGGTTTGAATGTGTCCTGATAATGGGGAAAGAATGTTTTCAAACTTGGCACTATTAACTTAATAAAGTACTGTAGTTAAAGATAAATTGTTCATTTGGTTTGACATTAACTGCATTAATGTTTGAATGTATAATCACGTACCCCAACCAATTACGGCATGTAGATAAAGAAAACAAACAAAAACGTATGTTTTTTGAACTTCTTCAGAGTTCATCAGGTTTTGTAACGATTCTCCAATGGTTGTTTGTAACAGATTTTAGAATAAAATTCAAACAAATTATTAAAATCATGTCGTGCCTTTGCATAGTTGCCCTGTCAAAACTCAACAAATGGCTAAATTGTGTTGTCAATGAACTCTTGCCAGGCCATTGACAAAACCATTTCCTCTTTATAATTTACTAGCAGACCCCGCCATGCGTTGTTGTGGCTCAAAATGTATCTATTATAAATTTATAACACTTCCCCATGAAGGGAATATCGAAAAATTTCTTATTAGTGTACATTCTGTTGATGTACCCTATTAAAACGCAATCAAAAATGCAAAAACCCGCATCTAAAATAGTATAAATAGAAGCAGAGTTCTTTACGGTAAGCCTTAATCCTGTCCATCTCCCTGGGGGAGATTTCGACATGTATATTATATAAAAACACGTGCGTATTCAAATGCAGCATTGTATCAAAATTTCAAAGGAATCGGTAGGAACAAACAAACATTACATTTTTATTTATATAGATAGATAGATGATGATCCGCTTTAGTTCATTTTCACAGAAAAGCAAACTTAGGGTGCCGTACTCGTAGCGCCATCTGTTGGACATAAAAGCCTTAACCATAGATGATATCCTTTAATTTATATGAATGTTTAACGGAATAATATACAGCCTATGTCCTCCCTGAAGTTCCATTCTAAACATTGGTGAAAGAATTTTTGAAGTTGGATGAGTAGTTTCGGAGATTACCTGCTACATCCAAACTTACATACATACTTACAAACATTACCTCTTTATAATATTAGTATACATGCATGTAGATGTAAGATGAAGAACTTGGAAGTTTTGAAAATGTTTGTTTGAATGTATAGATTGATATTTACTTTTGCTTTATAAACATTTTTGATTACTTGAATTTCACTATACTTAATTGTAAAAGTTACAGGTAACAATGAACTTAATCAATAATTTAACAGAAAAAATATATATATGTGAAATTCGAAGTTAATAAAAGCATTTAATACTTTAAAAGTTTAATAAATTTAAAATAAAAATGCCCTCAACCAAAAGAAATTGACCCTACAAAAACGAAATCTAAAGTACATGCGAGAATTATAACTCTTTTTGTTTTAATATAAACATTCTCACGATCAAACCGTATATAGTTTACAGTTATCGGCGAAATTCGTCATATTGTTGTCATTCTAACACCACCTTTAACCCCACACCTGCTAAAACAATTGATCACCTGACGAATTTTCCCACCAAAAAGGTATAAAAGCCATCCTCCTTCCCCCTCTCCGGGGAGTCGCTGATCAAGAAGTCGCCATCGCACTATTAAGATAGAGTTTCGCTTTCCTCTAATCGGCCGCACCACATATTAGAAGACCTTCGATCCCAACCCTCAACTTGGATTCCGCCTTTCAGAAATTAAAGACCCTCGATATCATCGCAAGAGGTATGAACGCTTTATTGTAAGCTCTCTCTCTCACACGTGAATGGGACTTAGTGTGTTAGAACGTTTGTTTTATTATTTGTCTGTAATAAATTGTTAGTTTAGAAAAATGGTGTCTTTATTCGACTATGCCAACGCCTTATCGTCGGCCCCGTAACTCTCCTCCACTCGCGTAACGCGTAACCGAACGTTACTACCATCCCTGACAAGAAAGAAAGTGACCGGAAGGAGAGGACTCCTCTTCCCTCCCGGTGGCTCACATATTGGTGTCACAGAAGTGGGGTTTGAATCTAGAAATCCCTAGAAACCTCACATATATTTCTTGAGACTATACATACAATATGAATCAATTTCTTTTGGTCTCTTCACATGCTATTGAGTTATGCCAAGTGTTGATAATAATCAACACTTGGCATAACTCATTCATTTATTTCAGTTTTTGTCGAGACGTGTTCTTACACACGTTTCGGGCTTCGTTTTGCCCCTCCTCAGTCAACTAGAAACACACAAAACCAACCTTATACACATTATGACCCGACATATGAATTTAAAAATCTTAAAAAATTTTTTATATTTTACAAGTAACATACCTTTTAAAACCCTTTTAAAATCAAAAATTCCATCCTTTGACGTATTTCTACAAGCGGGAATCATACACTATACTTTACTAGACTTTGAAAGTTATTCACAGAAGATTCCTTGAAATATCGAGAAAAGACCATAACGGACATGTAGCATAGGCCTTCTTTTATTTTTATATAATGTTATTAACAGTTCTTACGTAAACAACACAGCTAAACTTCACAGCGTTTAATGGTAGTATTCTTTTATGGTGATTTGCATAATAATGTATCCTTCCAAAAATTTTTTTCTTTCCTTCTAAAAATCTTCAAAAGAACCCAGTTTTTAATTAAACTTAAACATTAACTTAAATATTAGCTGTATATTGAATTTATCCTTACATAATTATTCACAGAAAATTTCCGGAAATATCGAGGAGAACTTCCAATGGGCATGAAGCACAGTTCTTTAATATTTACACTAATTCGTATACATTTTATACTATTAAACTTACTTTTTATCAATCTTTCTATCCTTATTTGTTGTTAATAATTCTTACCTAAGTTGCTATACTTCATTTTTTAATTTTTATTCTTTCATCTCTTAGCATCTAATGGCGTTTTCTTTGTATGATGATTTACATAACCATGCGTTCTTATTTAAAATTTATTTCAAGTAAGACTTTTAGCTATCTTTCAGATTTCCTCTAAAGAACACTTCAAAAATCCTCAAAATTTTTAATATTTTTTTTTTTAAAAACCTTTTTCTTAAATTTTTTCCTTTTTCAAAAATTTCTTACAGTATTTTTAGCCAGTTCTCGTTGATCTTTAAACTTAAGTTTTTTATTTATACAATGTTTATTTTTTAAAATTTCTATACTCTATTTCTATACTCTAAAAAAATTTCTATCAAGTTTAATTTAATATAATTTCAAAAATATTTTAATAAATTTGTTAAAAATCTCCCCCTAACTCTAGATTTTTACAAAAAAATCTTGATTTTAATTTTGCCCAATTAAATGTACTTAGTTTACTAATGAGAAATTATCAATAATTCAGATTAAATTTTAATAGAACTTACTGAAGATAGGTGTCACTTTTTTCCAGTCCCATCATTTTGGGTGAAAAGTTAGCAAGGTTTGACTATTTTCTAATGTTTGATTAGTTTTCTTTAAATAATAATAAATTATAAGTACCTATTCAAAAATGACAAATCTAAATATTGCACTAAAATACAAACATATCCGATCCCAACCCTCAACTTGGATCCCGCCTTTCAGAAATTAAAGACCNCTGACCCTATAGAAGATGAATCAAAGTTATTTGATAGTGTACCTACAGGGATTAATTTCTCCAAGTATGATAAAATTCCAGTTGAAGTTACTGGACAGGGTGCTCCTCCACCTTTAACTCATTTTGAAGATGCAAACTTTCTACCTACACTGTCTAAAAACATTCAAAAATTAAATTACACCAAACCAACTCCTGTACAGAAATATGCAATCCCTATAATTCTTGCTAAACGTGACTTGATGGCTTGTGCACAAACTGGATCTGGAAAAACAGTAAGTGAATATTAAGTTTCTTTTTGTAAATATTTTTAAATTAAGAAATGGAAGTTTTATAACAGATGCCACTAATAAGCCATTAAACTATCATTTTTTTAGTATATTTAATTTGTAATCTATCTTTTATGCTTCAAAACTTCTACTTTCAAATCAGTTTTTTAATTTATCAGCCAGACATTATTTTTAATTATTCACAACATAAAATTTTTTATCTTTTAATCTGATAAAATACTTCTAAGATTTTGTACTTATATATTTAATATATCTAATAGTATGTTTAAGATTTTTCAAATTAAATAATAGAAATTAATATTCTAAGAAATTTCATGACTAAGGGTTTCTAATTCTTATTATTGAAATAATTCTTGATAATTTATAATTTTTTAAATGGTATCTTAAATTGTTTATAAAAGTTGATGTTTATTTATTTGAATTACATTCAATTTAAATTACTAAATAATTTCAGGCTGCATTTCTTTTACCTATCATCCAAACTATGTTTGAATCTAATGACCTTCCAAATCCTAATAATTTAACAACACAAGAACCTTGGGCTGTTATTATATCTCCTACCCGAGAATTAGCAATTCAAATTTATAATGAAGCAAGAAAATTTTCATTTGGAAGCATTCTGAAGGTAGAACTTATCTACGGAGGAACATCTGTTGGACATCAGTCATCTAGACTAAGACGAGGTTGTCATATTTTAGTAGCAACACCTGGACGCCTTTTAGATTTTATAGACAAAGATAAGGTAAGTATCTTACAACATACACACACTTGGATTATTAACATAATCCTGCAAAAGTTTTTAACATTAATGATCTTAGTTTTTATACATATAACAATGAAACTCTGAATGGATTTAGTTTAAAACTTAATCTCCTCCAACAGTTATGCAGTATTGAAACTTTTTTCCAGTAACAACTATATATATAATTTTTGTGTTTAAGTTGCGTGTTTCAAAATTACATCAGAAATTAAATTATCTTTTATTTCTGTATTTTATCATTTTTTCTAAAATGTGAAACACTTGTGGATTGCACATTTTGTTTATTTTATTGTAATTTGATCCATTAAAGCAATATAATAAACATTAAAATTTCACTTTGCTGTAAATTATCTCAGGTTTCAGATATTGACAAAATTTGTTTGTAATTAGAGAAGGATATGTTGTCTTTCAAGTTCAGAGTAGTAAAGCTTTATTACTTTAAAGAGAGATTAGCAGTGGTCACTGCTAACCCCCACTCCGAATGTAAACAAGCCAGTGTTTTACTACCTTGTAAATAAGTTTCCATTCCACTGGGTCAAAGGACAAAGCTTTTGTTTTGTTATTTAGAAGACTGTTTTAACATGTAATAGCCAGTTTTGTTAGAACTGATCTTAATTTTCATTCTTTCTATGCCATTCTGTGTTATCAAAAATAGATTAGCTTAATTAAAAAATTAATATTGCTCAAAATATCACAAGATATCATTTATGAGAATTTTATCAAACGAATTTGTCATTATGCCTTAACACTGTTACAAGATAAATGTGTTACAATTTTAAGTTTGTATTATCAAAATTTTTTTGCTTAATTGTGTGATAGCAACAATGTGAAGCTTAGTGTGTCATATTGTCACATGCAGCACAGTGTTGCCATTTAAAGTTAATTGAAACTTGTTTTTGTTGTGCAATGAAGAAATAACAGAGAAAATAAAAAATACTTTGTAAGAGTAAATTTATTTTAAATTGCTGTTGTATTGCATCTCACTTGTTAAAAAAGTGACAGTTGCTAGCATGAATGACCTATATTTCCTGTTGTGTGGCAGCTCTCAAACTCCAACATTTTACCCCCCTCTAAGTATTTAGTAGTAAAAATATTAACTGTCATCCAGGTTGAAAAGTTGAGAAAGTAGAACTTTTCAATTTTTTTACAAAATTTTAGATATAAGAAATGTTGAAAATGTGCTGTGGCATTTGAATGTCACAACACATTTTCAACATTTCTGAGATGCCATGTGATATACAAAGAGTTATTATTTTACAAATCAATTATATTAAAAATGTGTTCTTATTTCTGTTGGAAAAGGTAACCTCATTTAAGCATGATGCTTTTTTTTAGAATAAACAACTCAGAGCAGTTCAATAAAAATATTTTAGGAATTTCACATTATTTGCTTCAGTTTTATATAACAGTTTTATATTCTTCATTTAATCAAGAAAAAAAAATTGAAAAAATATAGTTTTCATTCCATTGTTATTGCAGTAGGCATATTAGTGCACTAGTATTTCACTTTCAACTTTTTTTCTGTCTTGGCAGTAAAAAAAATATTAATGAAAAGACGGTAGAAAAAAAATTTTTGTTTTAAAATTCAATATGTGGTGATGATTTATAAAAAGTGGGTAATGCCAAATATGTTTTTAAATTAACTAGGATTTCAATCAACATATTCTTACAACTATGATTTTGTGGTTCTGAATTAATTTTGAAAATTACAATTTTCCAGCAAAACATTCAATTAGTTATAACAATATACAAATAGTATTTATAATTTTTATAATGTCAATTAAATTTGATTTAATAAGTTTACACTATATAAAACTACTAATTTAATGGAGAATACTGCATTGAAGTAGTCTTGGAATAGTTATAAATCACAAGTAAAATGACAAAGCCATTTTTGGGACGAGACTTGTGTCTCGGACAGCGTGAGCAATGAATACGCAAATCTCACACTCGTGCCTGCTTGTAGAAACAGTCTCAGCATTTCATATTTTCTTTTGACCCAGTTCTCGGACCCCTGATTACCTACAAATCTGGCTTATTTTATGTGCACATGATTTGGGCACCAAATACTCTGCCAAATTGCAACTCCTGACATGTACTCCTTCATACCTCTAACGTATGCAGATGTTGATAGAAGTGCGATTTTAGAGACTCGTCAATAATGGTTTGAATTGTTAGTATGTGATTACAATATTTTTAAGAAATTGTGGATAGTAAATATATTAAATAGTTTTTTTAATGGAATGCTCCAGAGTATCAAGACTTTGCTAGATTATATCAGATTACATTATAAAATTTTAAACCCAAAGATATTGTTTTTAAGGGAAAAATTGCATGTTAGATGAATTTATAATTTTAAAGCTATGAATATTTTTGAATTATTAGGTTTTGTTCTGATAATGAATTGTGCTTGCAATTCCATGAAATTTTCTTCATTAACAGAAAATGTTTAATGTTACCAGTGATGTCATTTTTCAGTATCAAATTGCACTCAGTATGAACTAATTTTTATGCCTTGCGCACTTAAAAGTTTATAGTTACTGCACATGATTTTTATATTTTGAATAGTTATTTTGCTCTATTTTTATTTGCTTTTCTTACTGGGATATGTTTTCTATACTGAAAAGATTTGTTAAGCTTAGTTCACACTAACATTTGTAAGCAAAAGTGAAATGCAAAAAGCAATTTAAATGTAATTTGGTTATCCAAATTAGTTGTGTGGTGAGATTTCTAGGTTAGTAAATCGTTAGTTTTTAAATTTAATAACTTGTCGTATTTATCTTACAAAGAAACTTAATTTAAAATTGAGATTTAGTAAAATTAATATTTAAAAAATTTTTTTATATTATTAAAATATTTAACATATATTGCTTAATATAATTTTTAAAATTTGTTTAAATGTTAATTTTGAATTACAGGTGTCATTCTCACAGTTACGATATCTGATATTAGATGAAGCAGATAGAATGTTGGATTTAGGATTTATCCCCGAAATAAGAAGAATGGTACAAAATCCTTCCATGCCGCCAAAAGGCCAACGTCAGACTTTGATGTTTAGTGCTACATTTCCACCACCCATACAGAGATTAGCTTCAGAATTTCTTGACAATTATTTGTTTTTAACTGTTGGAATTGTTGGAAGTGCGAATAGTGATGTGGAACAAACATTTTACCAAGTTTCACAGTATGATAAAAGACAAAAGTTAACTGAAATTTTAAGTACAACAGGTAAATATTTTTAATAAAAATTTATATAGATTAATTAGTCGGTAATCACTACAGATTTTCCTTCATTTCTGCAGAAGCGGTGTGTTAATTGGGGACTTTTAATTTATACACTGTAATAACATGTAAGTGGAAACAAGATGTGTAGGTATTGATACTTTATCCACATAAAATCACTATTATTTACATTTTTCACCGAATGCTCTCTTTCTGGTGTTTAAAAACAAAACTATTCTATCTGGGTTGTTTGATTCATTCTTGTGTATTATCAGCAGTGAAGATAAAAAGTGATAGAAAAAGCAATGTTTACTGTTGGTTCCAAATTGCAATTTCAAAGCTTTACAAGAGCCTGATATAAGTTTTCGTCTATTCTCACACGAAAAACGGGAAAAACAGATGATTATTTGGAAATTGATTGGTTATATTTGAGCTCTGAATTCTGAAAGAGTGGATTAGACTGTTAAGAATTGGCAGTTTACCGATTGTCCAGCTTTACACGAACAAGTTACACTGTCAATTTTAAAACATTTTGTTAAAGTTTAAAATACCAGTAATTTTGTGTAGGACACAGGGCCGGATTTAAGCATTTCGAAGCTTTAAACTGAACTCTGTAAGGCCCCTTGCCAACTCTTCACAATTTTAGAAGTCAATCATAAAAAGAAAAGAATTAAATCAGACTATGACTCTGATTTAATACGGATATTGGAAGAAAAAGACGTGAGGTTTCATTAGTCTTCTGTTTTATAACTAAATTTAATTAAATTTTTATACCCATTACATTAAAAATCTTTTATTAAATTGGTTTTATCAATTTTTTTTATAAAGATCTTATGTTAATTCTTAGAAAAAAAAATTAATGAAATGCTACACAAAATATACAGTAAAGTATATTTTGTTGGTTTGTGAAAAAATGTTTATTACAAAATCTGACTTCAATTTTCTTTTTTGTACAAATGTTTAAGGTCCCTTGAAAGTCGAGGCTTTTTACTTGTAAATCTGGCCCTGATGGGACAATGTCAAAGCTGATGTTTTTTAGTACAAAGGGCACAAATATGTATAGAATGATCTCACTCATTTGTTTCCATACCACATAATGACGTGTCCGGCTAACAATAATTGTTCTCCTTCTATTAAATTTCTCTATAAACAGCTACAGGCAGCATATATTATTATATTGGACAGTAATATATGATTAATTTTACATTACTAGTTACAAGTGACCCAGATAAAGTAGCCATTTTGTAAAAATGCGGCACCTTCTATAGTTCATGAAAAACACGAATAACAAGTCTCACATCTATTGTGTTCATACCAATGACGTAGAATGTACAGACAAATTACAAATTGATGTTTTCAATACAATAATACCTTAATTTAGTCAAACTTTAGCTGGATCATAGTATTAAGCAACTTGTTAGATTTTGTAAGCTATAAATTTACTAATTTGTAAGTTTCAAGATTTATAATTTTAAAGATAATGGTCTTTGTCCTGTAAATATTTGAACTTTGTTTCATTCAGTTCTTTTGGATTCTTTGTTTTAAAAATTTTTTAAAATTATCTGTTTAAATGTTCTGTTCATGCAAATCTTGTATGTAAAACTGAATATGGCTGAAAGGAAGCTGAAAACATTTTTATAGATAGTGTTTGGAAATGAAATTACTTTTAATTGATACTGTTTTACTAGAACAAATCAAGGTACAAAGATAAATTTTGTTCATGGGATAGCATAGGCAGTTTAGATTCACTTTTTGCAAAGTAATGGTCCATAGACACTGTGTGTGTTGTCCTGTACATCTCAATTTTCCTTGAACTCTTGCCATGAACTCCACAACAGACGTCTTCCCAACTTTTTGAATGATATTTCTCCGAATTTTTTAAAACTGTATTAAAGTACTGTACTTGGCCATAAGAATAAGAGGTGTATTGTTTATAGTGTCCAAAATCTTTCAGTGAGACTGGCCTGAGGACATGGTGACATGTTTTCATTTTCCACAAACTCACCCTAATAATTTGAGCATAGTAACTTTACAAGCATAATGAGCCATTGCTAGATCTGGCCGGAATTCATATTCCAGGTTATGGTGTTTTTGGATGAAGGGAATAAAGTGGTTTTTAATACTCTTTGACGTATAAATTAGCATTGATAAATCCTTAAGAAATAAAAGGTTCAGACATGTTTGCATTCAATTGTCTGCATTATTTAAGTAATTTTCAGAAATTTAGCTTTTCCTGTAAACCTGACTTAATGTGGTAATTTGATTTGTTGAGAATTTTACACTTGTGCATAATTTAAGGAATTCACAAGTATATATATTTGCTGCTGTTATAAAGGAACAAAATGTAAGTAGAAATGCTTTATGGCAACTATTTGAAAAGAGTACTGTAGTTGTGTGCAAATGTACTGATAAGGGAATCAGTATAAAAGCATTTTCCATCATTTTGGGCAATTGATATTGTAAAAAGTCAGTACTTTGTTGCGTGTGGAAATGTTGTTATTGCATAGTAATTGCAAAAGACTATTTGTATGCAATAACTATGGCTTAAAGAAGTCATGTAGATGACATTATGCAAGACAGGATTATCATAATATTAGCTGGATCATAGTATTAAGTAACTGTAGGCTTTGGCGACAATTCAGCCTGGCCAAGATGCTGGAAAGCAATACAATGAAGATTGCCTTTGTCCAACCTGCACATCAGGGCTGAATGTGGTCAAACATGCCAAATACTACTTCATCAGCACAGCAAGTAAAATGCTTAGAGACCACTCATCAGCATCGGGTATTACTGTATCCAAGCAAAAGATTTACAGTCCGCTACATTTTGTCCTGTATGTAAAGCTGTCGTATGCATTTCTGTAATTGCACAGCACATGCTGATCTGCAGAACGTGATGTATGTAGTGAATTCCTTGCAAGAACCCCATAACAATGGATTACTGTACTCTTTACTGACAAATCCTGTTACAGCCTAGACCAGTGGTGGTAAACCTTCTTATGTGCATGTGCCAAAAATTAGAAGAAAAAAGTTGCTGACATGCCAGATAATTGTTAATAAAAAAAAAAATTAATTTCTGCAGAATTTTATTGAAATAAGCTTAAAAGTTAAATCAATAGAAATCAATATCAATCACAAATGTATTAATGATATTTTTGCTGTTGTATATTATATGCCAAATATTTTATATTACATTCATATTTTGTCACTTTTAATAATAAATATACTGAACCAGATTCATCATTCATTGTATTTTGTATTTAAGTTAAGTGTTTTTTATAAAATTTGTTTGAAAAAAAATTACACTCAAATTTAAGTTACAGCTATTTTATCAATTCTTTGAGTTTATTTAAGCAACTAAGTTTTGGGAATTGCATTTGAATTTATTATTATTTTATCTTAATTTTTTTTAATTATGCCCAATAATCGATCATTTTCAATTATTTCCAATTTGTTTCCATATAGAACTAGTTCAAAGATAGAATGATTGCATTTCTACATCTTCCAAATTCAGTCAATTGACAATATCCATACTGAGCTTATCTGGTGATATTTTATCTGGATGTAAAATAAATTTTGATGCTTCTGCAAATTGTCTAAACTGCATAAACCTTAAAGAAAATTTATTATTGATTCAATAACTGCAGAAAACTCTTGAGTAATTTAACTTTATTTAGTTTTTCATGAGAATCTAAATCTGTAAATTTTTTTTTTTTGTATTTGGAAAACGTTTGAAAGTATTGGGAATAACCTCAACCTCAAAATATTCAAATTTGTAATTTTGTTTTAAATGTTTTGATTAAATCAAACGTGACAATAACTGTCTTGTTAACATCTTGTAGTTAAATATTTAATTGGTTTAAATGTAAGCACAAATTGGTAAAGAATATTAACTTCAAAAAGTCATTCAACATCCACTAATTGCTTATATTTTTCAATAAACTTTTTTTTATCTTTGAAGAACTGTTCCACTACTTTATTGGATGTTGTTGTACATAAACTCAGTATACAATAGTTTATTTATCTCTTCAAATAAACTGAAACTTTTAGAATTGTTAAAAGTGCAGGCAGATATAAAATTGGCCAGTTTTAATACAAGGATCATATTTTCCATGACTTAACTATCCTTTGCATGCCCAACTTGCTGATATATAATGAAATGAAAATGAAGAACTGAGTGTTCTGTACATGTAAATAAATCGATAAAACCACTTTCCCTCCAGTCATATTGGGTGCACCATCAGTACTTACTGATAGTTTTAGAAAGATTATTTTTTTCAGTTAAATGCATTTACAACTGCATTGAAAATATCTTTTCTTCTGTTGTTGTTACTAATGAAGTTAAATTGTTTAATTTTTCTTTGATGCTATTCCCAGCACAATAATGAATAAAAATTGCTAAACAAGCTGATCCAGTTATGTTAATATTTTCATCAAGATGAAGTGAAATTAAACCAGATGAGTTTATTATTTCAAGTTTTTGCTGATGAATTAGAATTTTGAAAATGGCTAAAATATATATCTTCTACAGGGTTTCTACCTAAAGGCTTTATTCTTTGTATACTTTATTTTCTAAAACTTCAAACAGAACTGTTGCACATTTTAATCATGTTTATTTTATATATTTCCCACCACTGAAAGGTTTCCCTGTTGTGCAATTATATTTCAGGCAACAGAACTAGCAGCATTTACATTTGAACAGCTGCTGATAAATTTCATTAAGGTTGTTGACTGGATATTTCTACTTTTAATTGCTTGAGTAAACTATTTGTTAGTCCTTGCTTTTCTCAGAATGACTTGTGATTTGTCTCATAATGCCATTTTGCCGACAATGTTCTACATAAAACTGTCCCAGAAAATAAAATACGAAGTGCTTTATTGTCTTTGCTAATCATTCCATATTCTTCAGTCCACCAACTTTGAAACTCTGCTGCTTGATTTTGCTAATGTTTGAAACTTGCATTAAAAGCAAAAAACACAACTTGTCACTGCTCTTTATTACAATGT